CACACACAAACACGCGCGCACACACAAACACACAGCACACAGCACACAGCACACAGCACACAGCACACAGCACACCCACACCCACACCCACGCACCTGCATGGGTTTGTCTTTTTTGAGGGGCTCCCCCCAACATCCAGTGCTCCCCCCCCCGGACAAAATAAAGGAATGGCAAACTAGTTTTGCCACACGAAGCAAGTTGGTTTCAGCATCCGTCGACCGCGCGGTCTGGGCTGCGGGACATGTCCTCACCGCCGCGGCCTCAGTCGTGCGACCCGGTCGGGCCACTTGGCAGCCAAAGCCCCGCGCTTCGTGTGCTGAAGAACACCCAAGACCCAGTGCGCTTAGCGTCTGTTGAGCACGTCGCCCTCCCCAAAAAGCAAGAAGCCTCATGTTTCGACTGCCAGGTTTCACGCATCAACAGGAAACGGCGTGAGGCTTTGTTTGTTGAACAACACCAGATTGTGTCAAGGGCACATTCAAGAAACCACACAAGCTCTGTTCCTGAAGAGCTGCAATTTCAAGGACCTGCAAGGGACCAAGTGATTGAAGGCTGTTGGAAAGGGCAGCTTAAAGGATACACCTAAGTTCATCACGTCGTACATGTAGAAATCCTCTGACTCTGAAACAGCTTGTAAGGATGGTCTTTTATTTGGCCCATATTGTCTCCTTTGAGGAACCCTGACCAAGATTAACGACTGTTCAAGTTTAGAGCTTGGATCTCAGTACGTAGTCGCGTTGCCTACATTTCAGCAGCCTGGTTTTAAAGGAGTAAAGGAGAGGCCTTGCCACTAAAATTGTCTTCCCAAACAGTGGCCAAACTCCAGAAACTCAGAAATTAATTAATAAAGTGGCCTGCCAAACCGATACAAAGAACTAAGATGCCTTCTTACCTCACGAATCCCTCAACCTGCCCGAATCGTTTTCGACCGTCCGCTATCTTGGTTTAGATGCGGGGCTTTGTCTCCGTTTGTTGGTTTTCCTTTGAACTAGCCGAATCTTGGGAACTCAAAAAGGCCTTTAGGGGTGTACCATCAGGAGGCACACCCACCCAAACCCGCCTCCCCCGTGGATTTTCGTCACGTATTGATTTTTGATTGTTTTTAAGAGGGGTTGCCTGCTCCAAACAAAGTTGAACAAGGGACAAGCCGACCACTGGAGGTCTGTTCGCATCCGTAATGACCCCTGCGACGATTTGGGGGTATGGGGAGTGTTTGCTAGAAAAAAAAGGAACATCCATGACTCCCCTCAAAAAAATGACACAGCCTCTTCTCCTCCGAGCACAAGGCTGTTAGGTTTAATAGAAGAGCTAGTTGCTTCATGTTGCTTCCAAAGGTCTCTCCCTTTGGGCAACTGCCACAAAAACCGAATCGCCATGAAAAGGAGAACTGGCTGGGAGAATGATGGAGGAAACTCCCCCTAATAATAAGCAGATATAAATCCAGGGCCAACATAATCAAAACCGACACCACGCCGGCTGAGGATTCTCCTTTTGGCTTCCGCGCCAGCGCCTGGGCGTTGCGCTCCGCCCCGGCGCGTCGCACCTCCTCCAGTGCGTGCCTTGCAGGTCGCGAATCCAACCAGCGCCAACATAGCCAAGAAACGAGGGCTTTGCAGGTCGGAGGTTTCAGGTTTGGGGTTTGTGTTGGGGCTTTGGGTGTTTGGGGCTTTGCAGGTTGTTTTGCCTTTAAAAGCAACCCATACCAGCGAACCAATCACAATTCAACCAATCTTCGCCCCTGTGAGTCAGGATGTTAGCTCATGCATTTCGTTTAAAGGCATTTGGGTGGATCGATATAATATAATGTCTGCTCTGTTTGGATTGCACTCGTCAAATTGTGCGCTGTGAATTTAGAGTTCTGAACTTGCAGTGAACTCTGACCTGTCAGGTGTGAGCTTTCAACTGCCCGCGTCTTGCATAGAGGTGGCAGCCTCTTCGGCTACTGGAGAATTGCTTGTCGCATGCTTGAGGAGCTGTAACCTCTGACATGTGCAGCTCAAGCCGATCTGCTTCTGTTCATGCCGTCGGCCATGTACGTATGTATCCAAAGAGACACAACGGCTGGTTCAACATGATTGAACACATCGCACAAATCAGGATAGTTTGAATTGCATCGCATTTGCCACAACTCTCTATGTGGGTCGGAATAGTTCCTTTAGCAGAAACCCTAGAATGTTTCTCAAGAAGGTCCATGACCATAGGGGTCCCAAGTGAAACTCTTATGGATGAGTACTTCTTGAGGGTAATTATCCTGTTTGGCTTGGTTGCAAGGGAAGCCAAAGAGGTTAGGGGCCCTGGACAAACACCTGCATCAGTTGGCAGGGGTCCCAGCGGATTTCCATGTGGCAAAAGGTATTGGCACCGTGCAAATTTGATTTTAAGGGAAAGTTGCCCAAAGGATTCAGACATTAAAGGTCAACCTTTGGGGGCCACTAAAACTGGACCAACAAAAAAGCGGTCAGATCTGGTCGATTCGACCAGGCTCTGAGGTCCTGGCACACGGCTCTCTGCAGAGGTCAGGAGCTCCTGACGTCGCGCGATTGAGTCGATCCACAGCACCTCCATGGCTTTCTTTGGAATGGTTTTAGTGCTCCTGTTTGGCCTCCCTTTGGTCAAAGGATACTCTCAAGAAGAAACAGACGCATTGTGGTTTGCATTTTCAAATAGCTCCGAAGTAAAGGACCTCCCTTTTTGATAGCAACTAAGTTTCTGAGCCCCAAAATCATTTGGTGGGGACCAACACTAACCAGTCATGATCATAAGCCCACACCCCCCGCCCCGTTGCCATGGGGAAAAGGCACCTTGTTTCGGCAGTCTGCTTGTATAAAGGGAACCCCCAGCAAAAAAGACGGGAGAAAGGGCACCACTGGGAGTCTTGGATGAGGTGTGAGTGCTGTTGATAACTCCCACGGCACAGCCGCATTTTCCTCGGGCTGATTCGAGCGCGCACTTCGGCTCCCAAATCCATCTCGGAGATCCGCTCACGGGGGCCAAATCGAGGTGCCAAATGATCTCTCCACCCGCTATTGGTGCTCCATGTTTTGCGGGGGCGCAGGCTTTGGAACTGTTTTCGGGGGATACCAGTCCATTTGGCTTCAAGAGAATCTTTCTGAGCGGCAAACCAAACTGATCTGTGCGTGATCAGATCGCTTCACATCGCATCCCTCACTTCCTTCCGAAGCGGATCCGCCCGGCTGCAGCTGATCAATACTCAGTTGCTCATCTTGAGCTGGCTTCCCATATGGGTGTGTCTTTTGTTTGGATCCCTCTTTTGGCTGGTTTGAAACCGCAAGGAAAACCGCCCGTTCGAAGGTCCCATAACATAAAACACCCATATTTCCTTTATCACCCATGAAACTCACGCAATCTTTCAAGGGACCTTTCCTATAAATGTGATCTTCAAAACCACCTAGGGACAAAGAGTTGGACAGGTTGGGTGCCGAACTTGTCGAACTTCATGGATCTGATGAAAAAGGTCGATTTATGTTTGCTCCTTGAGTTGATCTCCCCGGGTGTATCTTCGACAATTCTCAAATGGGATTGCCAGCTGTGGAGCTGGGGAAAAAATGCAGCCATCAACATGGCTTAAGATGCCAACTGCTCCCTTATGTCGCTCCATACCTTGGGATCCTATCTGAGAGATGGTCTTTAATATGAAGTCCAGAAGCTGAAGCGCTACTTGCTCACCTGGACATGAACGGTGAACTTGTTGTGACTTTGATGAACTATTGTTGCCGAATTACACTCCCTCTAATTTTGGAAAGTTAAGGGTTTTGGATGACGAAAGCTTTCCTTCGGGGAAGCCCGCAAGAAACCCAATTCCAGGAGTGGAAAGAGAGTTGGAAGGGCATATTTTTCGTGGACCCCCGGCAGGCCATGAAATTAGGAAAAACAAAAGGTTGGAGGCTGAAGTTCAAACTTCAAAGGCTGATCGTAGGTGGGCGTTTCTCAACATGGTCCTTGTTGTTTTTCAGCAGGGAAACCAGAAGGACCTGACCCATATCGCGCTTTGAAGAAACACCTATATATGACCCCACGGGTATCCACTTAATGGCCATGAGTCAGGGACTCATACCCCCGAATTCACCGCGTTTTCTGCCCCCCTCGTTTTCATAGGTCTTTGAGGCCTTGGGAGGTCACAGCCCCATAAGGTTTGGGTTGGAATTGAGCTGTCCTCTCTTCCTGGGGCCAGAAACAGTCAAAACTGGTTGTTTGCCTTGGACTTCTCAACAAGTATAAAGTCCAGGAACTCAGGAATTCAACTCTTCGATCTCTGAAGCGATTGATCAACCGCACCTGCGCATAGCTCATAGGATCCCAATCCCCTCCACCCGGAAAACAAGGAGGGCGATTGGAATGCTATGAGCGTCCTTTAGCGGAAAACCGTATCTGGATGTCACCGCTTCCAAGCAAGGGCCGAATACCTCGAGTGGCGCGATAACATTGGTAAAGGTTAATTGGGGACCCTTTGGACACAATATACCATGTTGAAGGTGCCGCATCAAAATTCTGCCGCATCAAAACGGCTCCACCCCCGAAGATTCCCAATTTAGGATCGAAAGTGGGGATCGGAAGCTTTGAGGGGCACCCTGTAACGACCCGTTCTGGACAGGTAAACTATCCGAAAACTAAAGAAGGCCCAGCTATCTTTTTACTGGATGTGGTTGGTTCACCCATAGGGAATTCACCATCACATCTTCCTGTCCTGGCACCCCCAATAGTACACTACCAACCATTTGCCCCCTGCAAATGGCGCGTGCCACTTCGTTTCTCTTTGGAGTTTGTCCCAAGGTTGGTGCCGTTGTCTTGTTAGCCACAACGGACAAAAACGCAGACAGCGCGCAATACCCATTGACAAAGCGGTCATGCATATTTTTATGTAGGCCTTGCTGTAAACTACATGAAGCCAGGTAATAACACCACCTATTAACATGGCACGTTGAGGGCTTTGGGCGCTTTCCAACTGGCCCCAACTGGAGAACGCAGTGCTTCTCTGGTGTTGACGACTCGGCGGATCGACGGTCTTAGTCTTGGGGCGTTGGACATCGCTAAGCAAAAGGAGACAATTTCCGTCCCCACGGGGATTAAAATAGCGTCACACGAAGGGCGCTTCGTGGGCCTGGCCACAGATCATGTTTCAAGGCTCCCTCCAAAATGGAGGTTCTGCTTTTGGTTTCCGTTTGCACCCGCAAGCAATGGGTACCCTCACAAAACACGCACCCAGATCTACCCATCCAACAAGTCTGGTTTGGTTTGGTTTGACCCTAAGACCACTTCCCTCGACACGGAGCCGGTCATTGCCAACGAGAAACGACTTATACAGGGCTCCCGATATTTCCCCTTTGAACACCCTACAAAAAGAAACTCAGGCTAACTGCCTTTTTGGGAGGCTCCCTTTTTGGTGATTTTGCCGCAAAACTGAAAGGAAACCCAACCATTTTGTTGGTTCCCTAGAATCACACACACACAACTTGACCCAGCAGATGATTTTGAAACCACGAAAATGAGGGGAGAGATACAGGGAACCCCATGCATGGAGCTGTTCCTTCTAGATTCTTGGACCCGGCATCCTTGTCTTTAAAATTCGGCCCGTCATACACTAGAGATCCTTCAGCCGGTCAGGTTCGCTCCCTGCCCCCCAGAAGAAAAGAGACAACTTCAGCCTGCAAGTATCCGGTTTCTCCAACTGATCAAAGGACACTTTCCCTTGTAATGCCCCTTTTGATTTGTAGTTTGACTCTTGATGCAGGCTGCACAAAGTTGAAATTTGCTCTAACCGCAGGTGGGCGGGAAGCCATTGTCGTCTTCCTCGTTTGTTTTCTTTCTTTATTCCCCACCCGACAGGAAGGGGTTGTTAGGTTTTATGTTTGAATCCGCGTTTGCGATGCTTCTACACCACGCCCCCGCCCAGTATCCCGCCAGAGCAGCTCGCCAGTGGATCCCGCCGAGTATCCCGCCAGATCAGCTCGCCTTTGGATCCCGCCGAGTATCCCGCCAGAGCAGCTCGCCAGTGGATCCCGCCCAGTATCCCGCCAGAGCTGCTCGACAGTGGATCCCGCCAAATATCCCGCCAGTGGATCCCGCCCAGCATCCCGCCAGAGCGGCTCGCCAGTGGATCCCGCCGAGTATCCCACCAGAGCAGCTCGCCAGTGGATCCCGCCGAGTATCCCGCCAGAGCAGCTGGCCAGTGGATCCCGCCGAGTATCCCACCAAGCCCGCCTGTGGATCCCGCCGAGTATCCCGCCGAGTATCCCGCCAATCCCGCCGAGTGTCCCACGAGAGCAGCCCGCCAGTGGATCCCGCCGAGTATCCCGCTGAGTATCCCAGAGTAGCTCGCCAGCGGATCCCGCCAAGTATCTCATGAGCATCCATTTCCGGCGGATCCTGCCGCGTATCCGGCCAGTATCGAGCTGGAGCGGCTTGCCAGCATTCGGCAGTGGATCCCGCCAGTATCCCAGAGCAGCTTGCCAGTCTGGTTTAGGGCCGATTGGAGTTTGGAGTCGAAGTCTCTAGGATGCGGAGGAATTTGTTGTAACGGCCGTAAGCTCGTGAGTGTGGAGGGTGGGGATTGCTCGAAGCGAAGTATTTTTTTTTGGGGGGGAGGGGACGAGGGAGTGGTCACTCAGCTGACCAAATTGGGTAAGCGAAGCTGAGAAGGACCCGGTGCGAAATGATACCCGCCCTTTTGATTCTGTGCCACGGCCAGAGGTGGGGCATCCACCAGGTGGGAAACCACATTTGTCAGTAGAGGCTAATTCACCTTTTTTGTTTCTAACGATGCTTTTTCTTGATGGGTCCATCCCAGTCATGCTAAAGTAGAAAAGGAAGCCAATCGGGCATTCCAGTTTGTAGAATGAGTAGCCCACCACACAAAAGGAGATTTGAAGGGTGACATCTTCTGCACAGCCGCCTTTTTTGGAGTTAGGAACCTTAAACAAACATTATCCAATCAGATTTGGTCTCCGTTCACCGAATTCTGCTCCGATCGGGAAGGGGCTGTCACCCGTTGCGCCCTAACGCCTCGTTGGGGGCTGGTCCATCGGTCCTCCTGAGCTTATCCATAGCCGCCCCACAGAACGCTCATTTGGAGACCAAACTCAGACCGGGACAACATTCCACTTGTCTAAACCTGGCGACGTCCCATGAGACGAGGGGATCAGGAAAACTGTCTGGGGGAAGCACTCCAATAAACCTGCCAGGCTCCTCTGAGCGTCCTCCGGATGAATCCAAAGTTGACTGTGTTGGTCAATCCCATTTCATACTCCTTATAGGACAACCACTTCAAAGGGATCTTTTTTGAAACCCAAGGTAAGGATTGACACTTTTGCCAAGTTGCCATTTTGGGATATTTTGGGGTACCATTTTTTGAGCCACAGCAACACTAGTCCGGGGTCAACTCATACGAAGCTTCGAATCTCCGCCTCGACGCTCTCAGACAATTTCTTCGGCCTGCGCGGCTCGCACTTCCCCACTGCCTGGGACCCAACCCAAACCACTGGCAATGGCACCTTTTTTTGGTTGACTTGAAAGGGCCCCCCCACTCAGAAACAAAGCAAGAACGGATCTCACTGGGGATTCGGGTCAACAAGGTGGAGTTCACAAAGCAACAAAATCAACCCCAAACAAAGGCATGTATCTGGACATTCACCAAAATAAAATAGCCTGCTGGGGCGGTTCAAAGTATTATAGTAACTGCGCCTCTCCTGCAACTTAACATGGACCCCTGCAAAAGAAACACTGCCGTGTTTAGCGGAATCTTCTTTTGGGGGAGCAGGGGCGTATGCCGATCTGTCCCAATGTGTATCTATGTTATATTTATGCACAGGGCATTCGATTGTTTGCTGCAAATTCAGTCAGTAGCAATAACTGAAATGTATCCTCAAGTGCCTCTACTCCGCACTCATCAAAAAGGAGCAAGGAAAGGCGGTCAAGTTGCGCATGCTGGAGAGGATGCCTCTCAGAAATCGTGCCAAAGCATCATTGGTTGCTAAACTTCACCAACCTGAATCAAAAGATTCGTGAGAAGGGACCGTCTTCAAGCCTGGGCGGGTCTGTAGGGCTCCATTGGAAGACAATTGTCCTCCAACGGGTTCCGTCTTTCAGGTTCTGATATTTGTTTTTGACAGGGCGGATGGAAGGGCTGGTAGACTGTTGCGTGATTTGTATTTTTCAACACCAGAGGGCTGACAACCATTGCCAGTATGTGCTGACAACCAGCGCCAACAAACTAGAAACTATGACAGGCGCCAGTCATGAGGGACACCTGGGTGAGTTACAATAGCTGCCTATTGCATGGAAACCTCCAAGTTTCGATCTGGTTTGCGATCCGCTGTTTTTGGTCAAATAGATGCCCTCCTGTCCATTGATTGACATGGAACCCACCAGAGGGTCCCTTTGAGGACACCTCAGCCAGGTTTCATGCGAGCGGACCGGAGGGTACCCCCTACTCATTTGATCTGCGCAATCCGTCCAACCAAAGCCAGACTTTTGACCTCAGGGTGCTCTCAAGTAATTCCCAATTCCTCTAGCACCCAAAGCAAACTATCTGATGGATTCCCTTGTCGCCCACTTAGAGCCCCCTTATCCAACAAAAAGCTTCAGAACCCTTAGGGCAAGGCTCCCGTGGCTTCGCCCATTCCGATTCGGGCGAGGGCCTGGTCCGGCTTCTTCTCGGGCCTGGCGAGCAGTTGCGTCTGAAGGTTGGGTCTGCCTCACAAAAACGTTGGCAAAGAACCGGAGGGCATCAAGTGGTGGCCACAACCAAAGAAGCTTCACAATGCCACGAGTCAATCTCTTTCCATGGACATCTATGGCACGTCTTGAACTCGGCCACCGCGCCCCGCCGACTCGGCACACTTCGGCGACTGCGCGCGTCCAGGCGTGAGCCGTAGCTCCGTCGGGAGTTCGTACTCGACCGCCTTCGAATGCCAACCGGCACCGTGAGGAACACGCGAAGAACTTTGCCACCTGCACGTCGGTCATCGGGGAATGCCCAAACAGGGCGGCTCCCTTTCCATCCCGTTGCAGCAGACCGGTCTTCCCACACAGTCACCTTCAGATTGCATTTGAAACAGGGTTGCTCCTCCCCCTGCGGCAAAATGTTGATCACCTTTTGCGGTTTAGTCAGAAAGCCATCCAAAAGGTCTCTGCGGGGCGATTCAGTCACACCCAAGACCGTCCTCGAAAACCACAACTCACGCAGCCGATGCAGGCAGATGTTTGGCTGACTGTTTGTCTGGACCATTTTGGGAATCGGACTCTGAGGAGCCTGAAGACCAGCCAAGACAGGGAAACTCGTCGTGGGCCAAACAAAATGCTATTTTCACTCAAGGGAAATTTCATGAAAACGATTTGGGCCAAGTCGTTTTCATGATGGTCAATTTCAATCGGAAACCTACCCATTCCAAACAACAACAAACAGGATCAAGCACTGACTGTCATTCTGGGAAACAACCAGCCATCTCCAATCCACCTAAAATTGTCCCAAATTGTTCGGAGCGCCCAAACGGTTGGCTCTTCTTGGGGTTCCCAATAAAACACCAACCGAAAGGGGATCCACTAAAGGACACACCCATCTATAAGAAAAAACAAAGGAAGTTTAGAAGGAACTTCCGTGTTGCGGCAACTAATTGAAAGCCAGCTCTCTGAGACAAGATGCAAGAGAAGGAATAAGCCCGCGAGAAAAACTTCGCGCGCGTGTGGCAGGGGAAGAGAAAGTCGTAAAAAGCGTGGCTTTGTGCGTGAATTGACGTCTCCGGAGTTGCGAAAGCTGGCCTGTTCGCGGCGTCTGGTCGGAGATGTTCGGAGCGGTCTCGGACTGCGTTCGGCGCCGGGCCCATTGGCACGGCAACGCAGAGGTTTCGCAAGGATTGAATTGAATGGCAGGCGCAGCACTTTGGCAAGGTCTGGCGCATATTTCGTGGCAGGGGCAGCACTTTCGCAATTTCAAGTTTTCCCACGGCTTGAAATGCGTGGCAGGCGCAGCACTTTCGCAAGGTCACGTACAGATTTCGTCACTTCCGCAAGGTCAAGTACAGATTTCTTGGCAGGCGCAGCACTTTCGCAAGGTCAAGCACAGAATCCGTGGCAGGCGCAGCACTTTCGCAAGGTCAAGTGCAGAATTCGTGGCAGGCGCAGCACTTTCAGGCCAAATACAGAATTCGTGGCAGGCACCGCACTTTCGCAAGGTCAAATACAGAATTCGTGGCAGGCGCCGCACTTTCGCAAGGTCAAGTGCATAATTCGTGGCAGGCGCAGCGCTTTCGCAAGGTCAAATACAGAATTCGTGGCAGGCGCCCCACTTTCGCAAGCTTGAGAATCGCAACTTTTAAGTACGAAGTAGTACGTGAAGTCAACTTTCGGGGATAGATAGATAGAGAGAGAGAGAGATAGATAGAGAGATAGAGAGATAGAGAGATGGATAAATACACGTGAGATAATGAGATAGATAGATAGATAGATAGATACAAAGAGAGAGAGAGAGAGATACACAGATAGAGAGAGAGAGAGAGAGAGAGCGAGATAGATATATAGGTAGAGGGATACCTAGAGAGATAGAGAGATAGATAGAGATTGACAGATAGAGAGACAAATAGATAAATAGATAGATAGAAAGAGATAGAGAAAGAGATAGAGAGATAGATAGATAGAAAGAAAGAGAGATAGAGAAATAGATAGAGAGATAAATAGAAAGATAGATAAACAAACATAAAATAGATAGACAGATAGATGGATAGATAGATAGATAGAAAGAGATAGAGAAATAGATAGAGATATAGATACATAGAAAGAAAGAGAGATAGAGAAATAGATAGAGAGATAAATAGAACGATAGATAAACAAACAAAAAATAGATAGACAGATAGATAGATAGATAGATAGATAGATAGATAGATAGATACAAATATAGAAAGAAAGATAGAGATATAGATAGATAGATAGGTAGATGGATAGAGATAATAGATAGATAGATAGATAGATAGATAGATAGATAGATAGATAGATAGATAGATAGATAGATAGATAGATAGATAGATAGATAGATAGATAGATTATAGATAGATAGATAGATAGATAGATAGATAGATAGATAGATAGATAGATAGATAGATAGATAGATAGATAGATAGATAGATAGATAGATAGATAGATAGATAGATAGATAGATAGATAGATAGATAGATAGATAGATAGATAGATAGATAGATAGATAGATAGATAGATAGATAGATAGATAGATAGATAGATAGATAGATAGATAGATAGATAGATAGATAGATAGATAGATAGATAGATAGATAGATAGATAGATAGATAGATAGATAGATAGATAGATAGATAGATAGATAGATAGATAGATAGATAGATAGATAGATAGATAGATAGATAGATAGATAGATAGATAGATAGATAGATAGATAGATAGATAGATAAGATAGATAGAGATATAGATAGATAGATCAGCATATAGATAACACGATAGATAGACAGATAGGTAGAGAAAGAAAGATAGATAGATAGACAGAATGATACAGAGGAGAAGAGACAAAAGAAAGAACAGCACAAAAACAAGCAAACGGAAGAAAGAAAGAAAAGACAGATAGAAAGAAGGAAAGAAGGGAGGAAGGAAGGACATAAAGGAAGAAAGGAAGAATGACGGAGAAAGAAGAAATAATTAAAAGGAAGAAGAAAGAAAAAGAGTCAAGAAAAGAAAGAGAAAGATAACTATAGTTTTTATATTATTGAAACTTCCGCCTCTCAGATGCCCAAAGCCCCTTAGGGACCAGGAAGTAAAATGTGATCACCTTTTGAGATTGACTAAAACAAATGACATCAAGTGACCAGCAGGGAAAAAGGGGAAACCAAAATCAAGCCCGTCGATTCGCGTTTCCCCTTTCTCCCACGCCTTTGGAGCTTCAGCCTGGTGGTGTGGCAGGCCACCAGCGATGGCCGGTGCCCCACCGATACGTAGCACCGCACCTTGCGACTCGCGGCCGAGTGCTTGTGGGAGCTTAAGTCGCGCTTTTTTCATATTTGGTCATGGTTGTCATGTTGATGTCCTTGATGTTCATGGTTTCTTCATTTTGCTTTGCTATTTGTTCATGGCTTTTCATATCAAGATTCTGCTTTGTTTCCATGCGGGGCATGGAAACCAAGGTTTCTAACGTTCCCCACAATCCCCTGAATCTTAAGCTTTTTTGACCCGGCTCTGGAGGCAGGCTTAGGTTCCTGGTGAATGACACCACTTGATGGGCATAACCAAACAAACCACTTCCCGGAAGTGGATTTTCATGATGTGATTGATAGTAGGAAGGGGAAGGAAGGACAGGCTGGTTTCACTCCCAACGTAAAGACTCAGAAATTGATAGGCCCGGTCAACGAGTCCTCCATCCACAATTTCCCCAGCCAATTATCTCTATCATATGCTGGGCAATGGATAGTCAGGATTCTATCTCTTCATCTTTTGCTGTACGTTGTGAATGAAGGTGAAAGTGATGTAGAAAGAGATTCACGGTTCATTCACCTCGTTACCTCGCTTGTGACTGCCTTGCCTCGTCACTTCGGAACTTGTCTAAGGTAGGTGCTGGAAGGGTGAAGGGACAGAGAGGGTGCATGGGCTGGCTTCTTTCGTAGCATCCTACAGCCAGCTCCTCCTTTCCAGAATCACTGACAGCCGCAAAGAAACGGCTGGCTGTCTAAAACAAATAATGGCCGATAAGAATGTAATGTCGCACCTGGTTCAATATCCGTACCCTGAAGTATGTCAAATTTCTCGGCTTAAACACGATCTCCCCACACCACCATTTATAACAAGGAACCGCCCCCCAGCTTAATCCCACCCTAAACCCAAACCAACTCCGATCCAACCCCGAACCAACCCCAACCAAGCCCCAAACCAACCACAAACAATCTGATCAACCGCTCGATTGCGCCATTGGATGGCCGCCCCTCGAACGCTGCCGCTGCGACCGAACCGAGGACTGCCTTCTTCTGAAGGAGCTCGTAGGCTATGTGCCTTGGCACAGCCGCCCGGTTTGACCCGTTTAGCTGGCGGCACGCTGGGGGAGGGGAGGGGGACTTGGATGAGCACCAGCCGGCGAGCACAAGCTTTGTGAGGAAATCCCGGGCGAATTTTACCTTTGTTTGCACGGTGAGGAAGTCCATGTGGCTTGTGTGAGACCCAAAGCTAGTCGAACAACTGCAATGCCCTGTGCTGCACCAATCTGAATTGAGGAATCCCTCAGTGTACAACCTTCATCGTGGCTGAGCTGGCTTTTGCCCCAGGTGAACTTGCCACAGCTAGTGCAGATTCCTTTCTCATTCTCCTGAAACAATCAACTTCTAAGAAAACAGAAGCTGCTTCGAACCACACCAAAGCTTGTTTGGACAGAGACCCCAATGTGGAAGCAACCGGGATCAACGCAATTGAGAGTCAAGGATTGCTGCCCCACGATTCCTTGAGCCAAGTTTGGCATGAATCAATACGCTTTTCCAAAAAGGTTGTCTAAACAGGGCACCCTGGCGCCAAACGTGCAGCACCAACCACTGTCTAGCATGTTTGAACATGAACCATACCCCCCTATCCCCCTTTCTGTGTTAGCTATGATATGGTTCATTCCCATGACTACCTTGCACTTTGCAGGGGATTCCCTTTGTATCACACAAATTGTCGCCTATCACCCCTATTCTCCACGACCATGTGCCTCAACTCGTGTCTCTCCACGGTGGTGTAGGTCCCGCATCTTGGACTTCAGGTAAAAGTGTGAGCCCTTGTTGATATTCATGGTGTCCCCAGAACCCCCCCAAACCAAATTGCCTTCTGGTAGCTTGATGCGTGTGCCGATACTTTCAGCCCCCTTACCGTCGATGATAGATATTGGCGTGCCTTGACTTAAACTGCAAAAAGTGGAAATGAAGGACACCTAAACATGCAAAGGACAAATTGAGTCTTCAACACCCGTTTCTTTCACCCGGGCGACACTTCCGGGGCCTTCCACACTGTTCGCCCGTCTTCTCAAAGGGATACGTGCGTCTCACTTCCTTACTTTGGCCACGGAAAATGACAAAAAAACACATGTTTACTGTTACTCAAATGGTCTCCCACAAAGGTAACTCCAGAAACTTGGGAAGCGAGGAGTGGTGTGGGAGGCTTCCTACAAAGGGCCTCTGCCTTCTGTTTTTTGGGGGGTACCTGAAATTGCCCTTCAAGTTGGCGCTTTATCGAGAAACCACATGGACACCGAATGGCGATGAGCACTCCCGCCCTACGAAAGGAAGCACCCATTGGGGTAGTTACTGTTGATCATCTTGAATTGGGGAGGGAATTCAACAGTGGCCTTTGCATTGTGGGTGTTCCATTTTCAGCACATTTAAGGTACATACAAGTAGGACCTGCGTGTTCGGCCGAGTTAGTAGGTTGTCAAGAACCAAGAAGTTTCATCCCACTTACGAGTCCCTGGGGTCATACAAAAAGCAGCAACAACAGCAACACAAAAAACTGCTCCCTACCACTCCCACCTTTTTCCCAGTCAGCCAGGCGGCTCGTTTTGCTCATCCAGCGCGGAGGTAGCCTGTGAGTGCCCACAGGTTGGCCCCCCAGGCCTGGAAATAAAAGGTCAACTTTTGGAAACAAATACAAATACACCAAAAGGGGAAACAGTCGATTCGCTTTGCACAGGTGGTTTCCCTTTAACTCACTTCCGATGTGGATTGGCCTTTCAACACATCCAAAGTGTTGGTCGAAAATGGTCCAAGCCCCAGTGACCAAAGTGAGAAATGGAACTCAGGGAGGCAGCCTGTCCAAAACCAGTGTCCAAAAAAGCAGTTGCTGGTTGGTTTTTCCCTAGTTTCACTTGTTAACATTTCCGAAAGGAAACTTTGTTTGGCGACTCCGAACATGGTTTTTGATGACTCCCAAGTTAGATTCAACCTGGTTTCACACTCCCACCGAAACAGGGTTTCTCCCAAAATCCTGGAAATCTGGGGGAACAAACCCTTCCTAGGATTTCACTAAGAAAAATCCCGATGCGTTCCTTGAGCACCCATGGGACCCCTAACTGCTGCTTGCCACGTGTCCAGGGCGTATCGGCAAGATTCGGTAAGGCCCTTTTTTCGGGCGGCTCAAAGCGAAGGAACACAGCAACTTACAAGCAAAGCTGTAAAAATTAGTGGGACCTCCTCTGCAATGCCCTCCACCGTTAACTCCATTGTTTTGGCCTGCTCTTGGAAACTGCAAGGCCACAAGGTCTTTGTTTGAGCACGTTTGCTTTGGAGTGTGGCTTTTGAACACCCGCTTCTCACCTATCTCCAAATGGACCACAGGAGAACCAAAAGGTCAAAGAAGTGACGTCTAGTTTTGAGAGCAATGCGAAAGGTGGTGAAAACAACACATGTTGGAGGCGCATTTGGCGCAGTCCATCTGGGTGAATGATAGCTCAAAAAATCAAACGAACCCTCTGCCAATCAGGGACCTTACCAGCACCGCGAAGATCATTCCACAGTTAAAGCTTGACATAAGCCTTGTATTTTAGGGCAGCCAAACAATACCTGATTGGCTGGATCCCTGAATGACAAACATGTCTTCGCTCAACTGGTGCCTGCCAGACTAGCTGTGTAAGTGGCCCCACAAATACGGCCGGGGCGTCGCCCAAAAAGAAAGTAATAGAATGTTGAAAGACAGGCGCTCAAGCCTCCTCAACGCATTTCTACGGGGAATAGCGCAATGAGGTCTGCGGGGATTCTGATGGTAATTCCTGGGAAACCTTGGGATGCAGAGACATGAGAGCTCTTTCAGCTGCACGCGTGGTGCTTGAACGTAACCAATAACCCATGAAAGATCCCATGTAAGTTCCCAGAACAATGGTGTGGTCCAAATATTTCCCTTGAGGTCATCTGCAAGGCTCCGAGAAACCCTTGGAAATCGTACACACAACTCGACACCAGCGGCTTTGGTCTGCATTTGGCAAATTTGGCCAACTCCCGATTGGATGTCCAAGAGTTGGTCTCTATGAATGGCCGATCTTTTCTTGGATCCTTCCCGGCAACGATTTCCAGTATGGGGGGAACCGCTTTGTGAGGGAAAAAAACAAGAAACCCCATATATCCGCCTTGGACACCTCGGGAGGTCGATGGCCTCGGGCCTGGGCTTATAGACCTCAACCCCGCCCCATATGGTGGGTTGAACCCAACTTCGCACGAGAACCACCTTACGTTACATGAGCCTCGTCCAGCAGAGCTAGAGCGACGTCCTCTTGGATCCTCAGGCATTTGACAGGTTGGGGCATTCTGACTTCGCCCCCGTCCTCCCTGGGCCACTCAACTTGTTCTTCGCCTTTGGCTTTGTATTCCGGCAAAGTTGAAGAGTTCGGGTGTCAATTTGAGGGGGAATCCAAGGCCAAACTGTACTCGCTTTAGGTAGCAGTAAATAGCTGAAACTTCCGAGTCGGAAAACATCGCCAACAAAAAGGTATGAACTTCCATTGGGGTACAACCCTTAGTACACCCTCAGTGCAAATCTCAGGGTACCTGACGTTCAGCCAACTACAATTTACCCACCTGACATGGGAAAACTAAAATGACCTCAAAAGCTAGCGCCGGCAAAACCTGCGGCTTTCGAACTCTTCGTAGGTGAGAAACAATGCTGCGTTTGTTGCAGTCACCCGAATAATAATCACGAATTACAATATACAACCAAAATCACACAACTGTACAAACACGAAAGAACATGCAAATGCCACCAGGGGGGTTACCCGTGAACTCCCTCAGTCCCATCTTCTTTCACCAAGAGGCAGTAGGCGCGCAAAGCCTAAACGCTGCTTTTCGCCGCCTGCCGCGATCAAAACAAACCTGATTTGATGACCCTAAAACAATTCTAACAAATGGGTCCTATAATGCTTAACACATGATGTTCCTTTGACGCAAGCTGGAACCTGTTCGGTCTTCCCCTTTAGGGGTCCCCTGACTTGTGCTTGAGAGGATTCGCAAACGAATATGTTCAGCGAGGAGAACTCCGTTTTGGGTCGATTCCATTTTCGGACTGGCCCAACCAACAAACAGAGAAAAGGAGCCACTGAACAACTGGGTAGGTGGGATCTTACTTAACCGCTAAAACGCCCCCGCACAGTACACGTATATATGTGTATGTATATATATATATATGCTACCCCCCCCTCCCAAAACCCAGGTTTTGAACCTGGACAATTGCCAAAATCACTGGAAAAATGCTACTTTTGAGAAACATGTGTATTTCCGCCTCTGCGAAACGCATATTTTGCAAGTTCAAGCAGTAAAATTTGGCAAGCTCAATTAGTTAGTCAAAAAACAGTCAGCAAGTCAACTAAATAGTCAGTTAACTAGTTGTAATGAATTAGCTCTAAACCCAGTTAGCTAGTTAATTGGCTAATCAGTTAGTTATCTATTTAGCTGCCTAGTTAGTTAGATAATACTGAAGATATTCCCCTAGTATTCCCTTCCTTTGCTAGTGAACTATTTGGGGAACACTAGGGGGGTGGTGAGGAAACACTGGGGGTATACCAAGAGAATACTAAAGGAATACTAGGGCAATACTAGGGGAATACTAGGGCAATACTAGGTACATACTCAGGGAATACTAGGGCCATATTAAAGGTGAATACTAGGAGAATACTTGGGAATACTGAGGGGGTACTAGAAGTATACCAAGGTAATATTTAAATTGATATATATATATATATATTAGGACAATACTAGGGCAATACTAGGGCAATACTAAGTAGGGAATACTAGGGGAATACTAAAGGAGAATACTAGTGAATACTGAGGGAATAGTAGGGGTATACTCTCAAGCTCAATATGTCCGACTTTTCTCAGGCTTCCTGACTAGGGCAATACTAGGGCACTACTAGGGAAGTACTAGGGGAATACTAAAGGTGAATACTGGAAGAATTCTAGGAGAATACTGAGAGAATACTAGGGGTACCAAGAGGATACTAAAGGTATTGCCCTAGTAATTCCCTCCCTTTACTAGGGGAAGTAGCAAGGGAATACTATGGGGTAGTGAGGAAATACTAGGGGTATACGAAGAGACTACTAAATTAACTGAATACTAGGGCAATAATAGGGGAATACTAGGGCATTCATAGGGCAATACTAAGGACATACTCAGGGCAATAATATTGAAGGTGAACACTAGGAGAATACTAGGGGAATTCGGAGGGAATACTAGGGGTATACCAAGAGAATATTTAAGGAATACACGGGCAATACTAAAGGTATTCCCCTAGTATTCCCCTTCCCTTACTAGGAAATACTAGGTGCATACCAAGATAATTCTAAGGGAATACTAGGGCAATACTAGGGGAATACTCAGAAAATACTAGGTGAGTAATAAGGTGAATACTAGGAGAACACTGAAAAAACTGAAAACACTGAAACAAATGAAAACCAAGGATTCAGGGGGACATGCCTGGGGGGGGGGGGCAGCCCCCATGTTCACCTGAATCCTTGGTTTTTCAGTTTTTTCAGAGCTTCCTTGAAGAGATGCCCTTACGCAATCATAGTGCCTGCTTGCTCAGACAAGACTAGGGGAATAATAAAGGTGAATGCTAGGAGAAAACTGAAAAAAACTGAAAAAACTGAAAAAAACTGAAAAAACTGAAAAAAACTGAAAAACCAAGGATTCAGGGGGACATGCCTGGGGGGGGGGGGGGCAGCCCCCATGTTCCCCTGAATCCTTGGTTTTTCAGTTGTTTTCAGTTTTTTCAGTTTTTTCAGTTGTTTCAGTTTTTTTCCAGTTTTCTTTCAGTTTTTTCAGTTTCCAGAGAGCTTCCTTGAAGAGATGCCCTTACGCAATCATAGTGCTTGGCTGCAGCATTGGCTGCCAAATGAGACAGATGGAGAAAGTGGGCCTGAAAAGTGTGTGCTCTGGCAGATGCAGTTTTTTGTGAGAAAACACTGGTATTGACAGTGTTTTCTCCCAAAACCTGGGTTTTGGGAGGGGGGGGTACCATATAGGAGGGGGGGGTACCATATATATATATATATCTATATATAGATATATCTATATATATATATATATCATGTCAACCTTATGTCAAAATGGCAGCCAACATGATTAAAACACCACAAAAGGACACATAAGGAGCCCTGGCCTTAAGTTCAGGAACGTGGTTGTCAAAGTGCATCGAGAACAATACCAGAAGCTTTCCTGATGCAGGCACCGTGCTTCACAATTCATGGCTTATAGCGTGATATGACGTGCCCAGGATCAACTCATCATTCGGGCGTTTGTTTCAGTTGGTTCATGCTTTGGTTCGATTTATTTAATCGGGGGCGGCCAAATGCATGTCCTTGGCTGGCATACTGGATTAATGAGTCTAGGGCGTTCCCAGTTCATTTCAACGCTCGTTGCAAACGTTCTTTTCAGAAATGTTTCTGAAAAGAGGGGTGCTCGAATTGAGCAGCTGGTTGAATAGGATGGGATGCCAAATTGCGCAAGGACAACGATACACTGCTCTGCAAAACGGATAGAACGTGGAGCCTTCTAACGTTCACAAACCGGACCTCCAGTGGGCCCAAGCAAAAAGGAGTACCGTTTTGAGATTAGCTCCCAGTGACATGAGAAAATTATTTGAAGGGTTTTCCTGCTCGAAAACAAGCATGAAAAAGGACCCTGCGGCTCTGGGGTTGGTTTCAGTTGATTCTGACGAGGTGAACCCAGAAGCAAAGAAGGGACCCCCCAGGTCGGAAAAAACCCAAGTCTCAATGGGGCTCGTGCATGCCTGCATCTGGCACATTCATATTTACAAATTGGCATCCTTTTCCAAAAGGGAAAACAATTTGTAATTCACCGGGGATCGCTGAGTTCTGGGGTTTCACGGTCAACTTCCCGCTGATTGGTCTGGATTGGTGGTTTGCAGATTAAGGGGAGGTTTCCCATTAGCCTCCACAAGACCCACGGCTTCACCAATCCACCCCACCAAGTAAGGGTTACCTGAAACGGGCAAATGCAAACATACTTTACTACAAACTGAGGAATCCTCAAGTGCCTTCATGGGCCACTCGTTTCTAACCCTCGCTAGGAGTCCACTGGTTTTTGTGATTGACATTCTTGGTGAGTTTCCCCATGTTCCAGTCAAATGAACTATAGACGAATCTGGACATTTTGACCAAACCACCACACTTGGACTATGATCGCGGCTGTCAAGGGTCCAAATAAGCCCATGGCACAACCCCTGAGGCATCGGAATAATCAAGCCCATGTAAGCTCAGCTTAAAATGCATGAGCCGTGTGTTTTTTGGACAGGTAAAATCGTCACCCATGGAGACCTCCCGAACATGATGGGCTTCTTTGGGGTTTCTCTTCAAAACCACTCAACAAAAAGGCAGCCACCATAGCACCATGTTGGCCTCTGATTCGCTTGGGTTTCGGGAAGCTTCCATTGGTGACTGACCATTTGGGGAGGAGTCGGACCCAAAATGACCCTTTCTTAGGGTTCCCCAAACCGGCCAAGCAACATGCACGTTTTACGAGCGCTTGGATTCCGACTGCCAATGTTTTCAGAGTGCACCGTGTCACCACATGCTTGGGTTGTCTTAGGGAAGCCAAAGAGACACCGGAACCAATTTTGAGCCCTATGAGGAACCCCATTTCCTAATTGCAGTTTTGTGAGTGTACCCAGTGCCATTCCTTTCCTAGGGTAAAAGACACTATTATTGACCGTTGCTCTGTCCCAGTATGTGATAAGCACTCGCCAAGTCGTGGCATGGACACTTACCAGCGACAAGGTAATGTTTCTAAAATCAGGCCAATCCGAAGCCAATCCGAAACATTCCCCTAAACGTTGGGCATGTCCCGCTTACAATGAGACAGCTCTAATTCCCCTTGCTGTCCAGATAAAACCAAAGTTGAGATTTGCCAACCTCCAAAGTTTCCCTCTCAAAGCAACCAAACAAGACACACCCAAATGAGCTTGAACGGTGAGGTCGCTCAGAAGTGACAAGACTGCATGCTCAGATTCGGTTTCCGCTTGCGCGCGCCTGAAAGAATATTGTCGAAGTCCAGCTCCGTGTCTAAGCCGTGTCCTCAGCGCCGCGTTCCAAAGGAGTCAATACCACCCTTGCTCATGTTGCCAGCAGAGACACGCAAAAGGGGTCAACCGGGCAACCGAGAAAGACTATGTTTCAGAGGGATTGTTGGGGGGAACCCCTCCTTGGGGTTCCATTTTGTTTGGGTGCGTCAATAGAGGGAAGCCTAAATGAGTTGCCCTGCGTGTGCCTAAAAAAACAAAAGACATCAAAAAAGACACCCATTTGGGGAGTGGCAAGCCCCACAGGTGTATTTAAGATGGTTTCAACCCAAGTCAAAGGAACCGGGTCCGGCCACAGGGGTCCTATTCGGGTTATCGGCCTATGACTGCAGCCCCACTTGTGTTTGGGTGTGTTTTCATGCTTTTTTGTTTCCCCAAGTTGCCTCATCTGTGACATGGAAAAAACGCCCAAGTACAAGGGGATCGAGCACGGCTGGTCATGGGAGCCATGACCGTGGCTCAGTTTTGACCATGACGGTCTATGCCATGGGTTTCGAGCTCACATCTCGGGGTAGCGGTCCAAATTTATTTGGACTGGTGACTCCCAATCAAATTGATTCTGGTGACTTTCCAAACTTTGCTAAAATTACTCGCCTCGCCCCCTTCCCCCCCGAAGTCGGGCCCGGTTCGGATGCCAAGAAAGGTTTGCGGCTTGGAACCCTCGGAATTCCAATCCAAAAGGGTAAGTCGTAAGGTGATCTAAGGTGCAAATGGGGCCGCCAGAGGGATTGCCTCTGGCCAAGGTCATAAACCCGGTTCTACACAATATTATGTACCCTCGCGAAAGGAAAGGCCAGGTGTTTGGTATTTGCCTTTCTGGGCCAGACTAACTTTTGCTGACTACTTTTAGGCGGTTTTCAAGGGAAGCCCAGAAAAGAAGCTGACAATGCTGGGGAACCGCTATTTTGAGCAACATCCGTGCGAGGCTGTTGGCTGTACCCCGGATGAAATGTGTTTTTTCCCAGACCAGTGCAGTGCCCATGTGTCCCTTTCTTTTGGACAAAGGGTCCCCGCAAGGAGAAAACAAACATTGCCAGACTTCGCTTGCGTTCTCACTGTTTGCCTTTTTGGGTGTCCTTTATGTTTCCTTTCAACCCACCATTCTCATATTTAGACCCTGGAGGATTTCAGATTCAGCTTCATATCCGACCCACAATATGACATGAGTTTGGAGGACCTTTCAATCCATGTGCCACCTCCGACGCTTGGCACGCGAAACCGAGCTGCTCTCCGCGAGGTGGCTGATGCCGAGAGTCCCTGCGCGGCCAGCGATCGACATGGAATCGCTTGCTCCAAAAAGCCCCCGAAACCACAAGGACAACCAGAGCCCATTTGAGGGGTTTGCATTTTTTCGGGATCCTTTTGGGAAGAGCTCTTTCGGGGGCTTCAACATGGGAACCATCTATGGGGATGTGCTTTTTGAGGGCACCCTTTGTTGCAACCAGTGACTCTGGCTCAGAATCGGAACCAAGCCTTGAATTTGACTCCATTTGTGTGTGTGTGTGTCGTTTTCCCGCGGGCACCCTTCACTTTGGTTTAACGGGAAACCACAGGATTCCAGTTGTTGGCTAGGCTAAAACAGCGTAAACCCATGGTCACCCCGTTGAGGTTGTTTTCAAGGAAAACCGAAGGACAACCGAAGCCCATTTTGGGGGTCACCCTATGACACATAGCCGAATGCCATTAGAAAGGTCGACCCCTCTCCTTCAAGGGGTTCACTTTTGGGTTGCAAACAATACTTGGGTGTGTCATGGTGTGTCTTTGTGTAGGGACTCCCAGTATAGTGGCTCTTCTTTGGGTGTCCCTTCAAAATCACCCAAACATGGGGCACCCAAAAAGCCAGACCCACTGAAACTCGGCTCCCCTTTTGCTTGAAGCTAACCTTGGGGAAATCAAACCCCGGGAAGCGGGGACGGGTGAGGGGAAGCCAAGGAAGCCAAACCGAACCCCTTGCCATTTTGGGACATGGACCGATTCCTATTTCGCAGGCTATGTCTGAGACCTCAGGTTTCGGACAAACTTCGGGCATACCGCGCTGCGGTGTAACATAGTTTCTGGAAAATGCTAATGGCAAGAGTTCAACAGAAATCACATGCAACTGCTTTCTCACCCTCCATTCCCTTCTCAGAGATAGCAATTGTTGACGAATGCAGGAAAGGAATAGACATAGACATAGCATAGAATTAATTACAAGCATTTCCTGGGAACATAAGTCGAGGTTCATACTATGCCTCCACTACTCTCCTTATCCGTTACTTCCAGAGTTTATGACCGTTCCTCCCCTCAATCCCCACATATTGCCTTTCCACACACATTCAACTTCTTTGCGAGACCTTCAGGTGGATCCAATATTCCATGTTGAAGTAGTTATACTCGTCTCCTAATATTGGATCGAACGGAAGGGAATGTGATAGCTGTCAAGAATCGCCAGTCTGTGGAAAATGGACCTTAAAACGTGCCTAGATCGTTTTGAACGGCGGAGGCAACCAATGGTGAGCTGAATGCCATTAACTGTCGCTTGTCTCCGAGGCAAGAGGATGACAGGAGACGTGGGAAGACCCCATTGGATGTCCACGAGGGAAAAAGGGGATCCCTGTTGTTTGGCCCTTACCCTTTCAAAGGGAACCGTCTCCGAAAAAGGAAGGGACCAGTGCGCGTCGTGTCTGGGCTTGTGGTGCCATAGGTTCACTGTGGAGCATGGGATTTGTTCCCCCAAGAATGAAAGGGTCTGTCTTCTGTTGAGGGTACTGCATTTTGGGGGTCCCCTGAAACAAGACCTACCAAAAAGAAAACGGGACCCCACCTGGATGACTGGGTATGGCAAAGTGGCCGACCCGAACCCGAAGCGATGGTCGGAAAACAGGGCCTAGGACCTGTACGACGTCGTTGTCAGACACGTCCAGGCGCTGGGTGGAGGGATAGAGGACCTGAGTTGGGTTTGTCCGCAAATAGTCAAATAGGGTAAGACCCCAACAAATGGTTGGCTTCCTTTTGGCTTCCTTTCAAGCCAACCCAAAGCGGAGCCCACGCAAAACAGGCACACCCAGTTCTGTGTCCGAAGCCCGCAGCTACGCGTTCGCTTCCCAAAATACTTGCTGACCACCCAAAGCATCTTGGCCCTCCAAAAGGCCGTTTTTGAGGTCCCAAACCTTCCAATGGAGGCCCGAACCCTTAAGTGGAGGGTCCCATGATGCTGAGGTCACTAAAAACTTCTTCCCAAACAGTCAGTCCAGAAACTTGGGACGCAAGCCATTTGCCCATCCTAAAAGTTGAAGGTGATTTGCTGCCCTGCAAATCAATCATGCCCAAAGCAGTTTTCCCCCAACAGGCTATTCCTCTGAACATGCTGCATTTTGGGTGCCATGTCACCTTGCCGGGGACTACGACTCGGAGCAAAAACCATCTCTGCAAAGCCACGTCGTCGGTTCAGCTTGGTAGCGAGGCAAGCGGATAGAACCCACTTACAGCGTTGGTTGACACTTCGGATATAACCTACGTAAAACATGGTGAAACTACACAGATGTTCAAGGGGGAAGAGGCACTATTTCTTCAGGGGCAGCTTCTAAAAAAAACTCGCCCAGAAGGCACCTTCAAAAGGAATTCAAAGGGTCAGAGTCAGAGCTATCAAGTAGAACTGCATCACCAGTATCACCGGTAGAAAATGCCGTGAACAGGGCCCGGGCCAGGAACGAGGTATGGTTGTACGAGCCCATTTCGCGACTGTAATGAAACAGGCCATCACCAGCATGCATCAAAAGCAACACTAGCATTACCATTGCCCAAAGTTGGGCGCCCTTGTTGCATGTTACAACGAGACAAGCTGCACTCTGCACACGCCCCGCCCACATCCCCTATTTTATTTGGCCTTAGTAAGGCAAATTAAATATGGACAACCATACCTCTTGGTCAGGAAAAGTAGCTACAAGTTTTGCTTGCCACTCGCAAAACATGAACTAAAATCCAGGAAATCGGCAAGTCATCTGCAGAATCTTGGCGTGCTTGGATGGCTTAGGGCGCTGGCGTTGTCCCGCAGACTGCCCAAGCAAAGGTAGGGCTTCTGCGGCACAAAGAAACACCTGCCAAAGGCCCGCCTGACCATTAGCTGTCCTTCAAAAGGGTTTGAGTCGTTACCCTCCCAACAAATGGCTTGCTGCACAGGAAACTGTTGGCCCTGTGCAATAAGGAAGGCGAGCCAGCTGCAACTGTATCGAGTTAGGCTGCTTGCCTCCATAGCTACTGATTGATGCACTGCAGAAGATCGAACGCACACATCTTAACTTAGCTCATTGCAGGTTTGCCGAAACACATCTGAAGTCTGTCTCTCCATCTTCAAAGTTGTTGAAGTAGGTTTCAAATCCGAGCATGGCAAACAACACAATCAGTCGAGACCCGGCCTTGTCACGAAGCGCTTCTCTTTCCAAACTGGTTGGTTCAGGGAGCTTTGCCATCTTCAAGAAGAATCCCCAACCCCAAGTGGCCAGGGCAAAACAGGGGTAGTTGCTTTTAAATGGGCCAAAAAGAGAGACCCTAAGTAAGATTGGACTCTCCATTGAGGGGTTAGGACCTCCATGAAAGGTTTTTAAGGTTCTCTGCTAGCCAGGCAGGGGGTCTGGAAATAAACATGACTCACCCACTTGTGGCTTTTCTCGCGCATTTCTGGGCGATTTAGCAACCAGTCGTAAACGGACCACCCGCAACTGGCTTCGAACCCCCCTTCCCCAGTCACTCCGAGCCTGGACACGGCAGTTCGACGTATCGTGCCTCGCTAAGAAAGTGTTTGGAAAGACAGGAAATTTGACCAACATCGCAAGCAGGGCAAAAACTTGGGTGCTGGCTAAAGGGAAAGCGGAAAGCCAGCACCGAATTTCTACGCTGTGGGTTGGGCTTGTCTTCCGGAGCTGTAACCCAAAGAAAGGGCCTGTCCCCTTTCAGGTGGTGCCAAAACCACGTCCCAAGCTGAAGGAGACCTCGGTCAAAATCTGCAGCCCGGTGAAACTTGAATCTAAAGGCTCATCTGATTTGGGAAAACGGTAAACATTTCTTGGGACTCTGCCAAGAATTACCAGTGGTGTTGATCCCGGAAGAGATTGTTCTAAAGGTTGATCTGCGTTTTGGTTCTGCCATTCTTCTTTTGCGAACACCACCCAATTTCCTGGTGGGTTTGTGCCTTTTTGTGCAAAAGATGAGTTTCGGAGTGGGGAGAAGCAATCGCAAAGACCCAAAGGCCCTGTAAGGCTTAGCCGACTGGGGGATCTGTTGCGCACTACCTCAGTTGCCCAAAGGACGCACAAAGAAAAGGCTAATCTGTTGTGGGGCCATGACACAAATTGGTCAATCCCCAGAGGCTGAGATCCCCAAAACTAAGGGGGACCGGACCTGAGGGAATTGAATCCATTCAGGTATCTCCTTGGTGGTTTCGGGGTTGGTGTTTTGACCAGACCAGGCATTTGAAGCTCTGGTTTTGGTAGAGGGTAAAGGGGACACCACCCCTTAACCACTAAACCACCGGGCTCCAAACCACCAATTGGAGGGAAGCTGACTCCTTCTTCAGCCAGCTTGACAGGGCGACATCCCTGTGCGAAGAAAAACTCCGTCGGCGCTACGAAGAATTAAGAGGTCTCAAACCCGCAATCACCAACAAACAGAAAAATGGGAAGCTAACCACCAAACCTCCAAACCACCAATTGCGGGTAAAGACTGGCTCACCACTGAACCACCGGACCTCCAAGCTACCAATTAGACGATATGTTCCCCACTAAATGGGAAAAGTTGCCTATGGTCAAAGCTGGCTGTGGACAACTGAGCTATATACCACAAGGGAAACCACTACTGTGGCACAAGGAAGGGATCGATTTTGAACAACCCTGATTTGGGAGAATTTGTTTTGGGGGGGTATTTTGAAATGAGAGGGAGTTGGAAAAAACTCGTCACCAGCCATGGCAATAAACCTGGCCAGGAAAGGTTCTCAAAAACCTTCTCAGGTGAGAAGCTGTTGCAAAGTTGAGGGTTCTTTGTGTCTCCCTAATTCTCCAAATGTGCAATACGCGGATCACCTGTGGGAGAGGCGCCCCAAAGGCGAATGCGCCAGGTTGAGTCAATCCGGGCTTAACCTTAGTCATCATAGCTCCTTCCGTAGCAACCTCTACAATGTTGGCGCGCACTTGGGGTGTACAAACAATAGTATGTTCACATTCTGCTTCTAATATATAGTCCACCCTCTCTTCGAACCGTCTGCCTCGCCTGGCGCATGTCACAGAAAAATATTCCTCGAAAGCCCCCCACCAGTCGTCGGTCAAAGCTCGACCCGTGCAAATACGCTGCAGGAAGTCCAGTTGAGGGGACGTTCCTCACAGTTCGAAGACATCTTGCATATTGGTAAAGGTTTGCTGCGCATGCTGGGCTTCTCGTGGAATGTTGCAGTGCGCCAAGTTCTCGTCGTCTTCTTCTTTCAGCGTATCGTCTATCAACGAAAGCTGCGCCGTGGGGCGTAACTGCAAGAAGTCACCCAGGAACACGACCGATGGCATGGCCAATCCTCGTGTACGTTTGTGGTACCATGCAGAAACACCAAAAAGGGTAGCCTCAAAATCAAAGGTCACCGAACCGATGTTAAGTCGCATAAACATAATTCGGGGCTCGGGACTTGTCTCGAGCAGGCTTCCCCCCACCAAAAAACAGTTGGTATTCTCAAAAGGAACCACCTACCCTCCCGTCCACTAACATGGAACTTACCATAGGTTCCATGCTAGTGGACAGGAGGAAACCAGAACTCCGTAGCTCCGAAAAGCTCCCCAGCCTAATTGGATATCCAGCTCCCTCTTCACACCGTCACAAACCTGTGTCCAAACTCCCTTTGCATCTCTACTCTTGGTATGGTAGCAAAAAACGGTGTTTTTGCAGACCCCAGTAAAAATGAACAGAACCAAAAACTAAAAAACCAAACAACATGCCAATAACAGCGAAGTTTGATTTCAGGTTTGGTACCATTTCGGGGGTTCCAAATCCCAAACAAACAAGGAGCCACCCAAAAGGAACGAATCCCCTGGCTGCCTCCTTTGATCGAAGTACTTCGGGGCCCCCGGCCGTGGCCGCGGCTCCAGAGCCCCGCGATGGCCCGCAGCAAGGAGCTCTTCCCAGTGCCCGAGGGGCCCTCGATGAGCAGCGACTCCCCTGGAAGCTCACCGAGGAAGTTGGATCGGAACTTGGATCGGAATTCGCGGGTGGGTCTCTTTTTGCGGGTACCCTTGTCAGGGTTGGTCTAAATGGAAACCCGCAGGAAACAGCACCAGGAGGGGGCCCCCCCTATTTGAAACAACCGGAAACGGGAAATGACCAATGGTTCTGAGAAACACAATTGTGAATGTCCAACGTGTTTGTGATGTCTTTTTGGAGGGCACGTTTTAGGCGTTCTTGAAGAAAACCAGAAAGGTTTGCTTGGAAGAGAACTCTTTGGAGGTCTTTGGGGATTCTTTCGGGGTTCTTTGGAGGTTTCTGAGTATCCTCTCAGGGTTGATAAGCCATATTAAGGCGAAACAAGGCTAAGCAAGGTCCCAACCATTGGGTCTCAGAGGGTCCCTGAGTTTGGGTCTGTGTTTTTGGGGTAACCGGTATCGCTTGTTTGGGAAGCCACAAGGACAACCAACAGCGAACTCGCACATTTTAGGGGTCATGAGTCATGTTGGTTGACAAATCCTTTTGGTAACAATATGTAACAATCTAACCTTATTGGGAATTGTCTTTAAATGGGCTATGGATGGTGTCCTCAATCGAAGGCCCCGTATCACGTGCCCCAAATACAAACCTTGTAGGTCGGTGATCCCGGTAACGCAATGAATACCCGTGGATGTGACCAAAAACCCGGACTCCCCAGAACCAACACCTATATAACCTGCTAAGCCGATAGGAAACGGACTACTCAAAACCGGTGCTCTGATATTGTCCGTTGCTGGAGGCCCGTTTTGATTACCCTAGCTGAAAGCAAACTCTGACCTCAGCCAAAACGAACCAGTATATATATATATACATACACACACATGGGATTGTCTTTTTTTGGAAGACCCCCAAAATGGTGCTCCTTTTAAACCAACCCACATGGGGTTACCTAAAAAAGAAAATGACAAGGGTTGGACAGGCCGAGGTACTTTGGTAGCAATCCAGAGCTTCGTTTGGTAACATGTGTTCATCTTTTCTTGAGGCGACCCCAGCTTGCTTTAGCTGGGCATCCACCGTCGCTCATTCGCTCGTCCGGCCTTCCCGGAGGGTCAGGGAGATGTTGCTGAGCAAAGGCTCTTTGCTCAGCGGTGGGAACAGCGCCACCTTGCGACGCCCATCGCCAAAAATCGACCTCTGCTGTCCGGGCCACAAAACATTGGCCTCTCGGCCCGCTTGCATGAAACCGAAGAGAACTGTTTAAAATCCCTGCTTGGGTGTAAAAAGGTTCAATGTAGAGTAGAACTCACGTGAACTTGTTCACTGGGAATATTAAACACTTCCTAAGCGAGCTGTCGTCCAAGTGGGTCTGCGTGTTCGCTATATGGCGTTTCCGGTTTGCAGGGGGGTTGAGTGAGGGCAAAGCCAACCACTTGTCTAAGTCCCAAAGCGTGAAAGGGCGGGGGGATCACTTCGGTCGCAGTTTTTGGATCACTTTGGTCGCAGCTGAAATCCACTCACTTTGGTCGTAGTTTGAGCATTTGCGGATCACTTCTGTCGCAATTTTTGGATCACTTCAGTCGCAGTGGAAGGTGGCTTTTTGAGCACTAACAACAGGACACACGCAAAGGTTGTTGCCTCTCAAACACCTAACAACAACACATGCCGCGTGGGGTGGGGTCGACAAGGATGTTGCCTCTCAAACACCTAACAACAAGACATGCCGGGCGGGGTGGGGTCGACAAGGATGTTGCCTCTCAAACACCTACCAGCAAGACATGCCGGGCGGGGTGGGGTCGACAAGGATGTTGCCTCTCAAACACCTAACAACAAGACATGCCGGGCGGGGTGGGGTCGACAAGGATGTTGCCTCTCAAACACTTAACAACAAGACATGCCGGGCGGGGTGGGGTCGACAAGGATGTTGCCTCTCAAACACCTAACAACAAGACATGCCGGGCGGGGTGGGGTCGACAAGGATGTTGCCTCTCAAACACCTAACAACAAGACATGCCGGGTGGGGTGGGGTCAAGGATGTTGCCTCTCAAACACCATAGTCAACGGCGAAGAAACTAGGACCGAAGCGAGTAAGGAAACTAGGACCGAAGCGAGATGAAAACTAGGACCGAAGCGAGCCAGCAACTAGGACCGAAGCGAACCCGCGACCGCGTGAAAGCATACAAGTAAGGTGGAACTCTTCTTGGACCGGGTTGTGTGGATGATAGCAAACCCGGATACAACACTAACATGGGGTACTCTGCTTGGACTGATGCATGTTGTAGGAGCTAGACATAGTTAGACGTTGATCACTCGTTCAACTTGACTCAGCAGTGTTCTAAACCCGTGGCCGAAGAGAAACATGAAATCCCCTTCGCAAAGGCTTTCGCGCGGCTGTCGCGGCATGAGCCTTTCGGAAAGTCTTGAGGCCAACCAATCGCTTTCACGTGGCTTTCGTGAATCGACAAAAGGGTTTGAAGCTCGTTGTTGCTTTCACGGACACAGGCAAATTACCATTTTTTAGGCAAACAGCCCCTTGAACGAGTACATAAATGATAATCGCCTTGCCCGAACCCTTTCGTGGCCTGGGCTCACGATTGCTACTCTCAAATGTGGGGGTTTTAGAATGTCACTCAACTGCCTTTGACCGATTCCCTTAACGAAATGAAGGGCCTCCCGCCAAGAGGGGCTCTTTGACTTGGGCCGGCCCGTTTCCACAGGGAGTGTTTTCAAAGACAAGCCCTGCGCGTGTTCTTACCACCTTCATTAAGCGTCTGAGTTGAGTTGCCAAATCGACTTTGAAGTGTTTGACCTTTGCAAATAAGTAATATCGACTCATATCCCCATGTCCCCTCTTTTCCAACGGGTTCCTACAGATGCATGGTTCACTTGGGCGGATGGCGAGAGAATCACATGCAGGACTGGGTACATGGCGCTCAACCGAAGCCTTAGGCAACCTTTCGCTTTTGGAGGGCAAGGTTTTCGGGATTTTAAAAGCAACCAAGCAGCAATAACCTTTGCTCACACCTGTGGAGAGAAACCCCTGACATAAGCACAAGCTTGACATCTCCGTGCCAAATCAGCCTTCACCACCCTCTGAGGTCAAGGCCGAGCATAGTTGCAAGCGCACCGGGGTTGACATCTTGGCCAAGAAGGAATGGGACATGGTCATGGCAAATGGTTGACCGGGCCAGCTTCCAGCTTCTGTAACGCCAAGGTGGTTAGTTCCTTGTAACTACTCTATTTCTTTGACTAGGATTCCCCAAGGTACAGATTTCCGAAAACCCAAATCTCCCCACCCGTGTGGAGAATCTTGCAGACACCAAGTGCTATTAAGTACTGGAGCCCAAACCCTTGACACAGAAGCGCAACCTTTGCCTCAAGTTAGTGTAGTCCCCAAGGATGATCACTTCGTCTCAAACAGAGATCATGAAGCGGAAAACGGGTATGCTTGGTTTGGTTGATGTTTAAGGGAAACTCTTGGAAACCACAGCCACCCCTGGAGGCCTCGGGATTCAACCACATTCAAAAACAAATTGAGCGAAAAGCCAGATGATTCGACTGATTCGTTGAACAAAAGATGACCACATGGGGTCCATGACCTCCACGTTCTCGGTTTGGCTCGTCCATAGCCCGCTTGGGGGGCATGACAGGGACTCACTTCTTGCTGCATTCGACCCTGTCACCTGCACTGGGAAACCAAAATTATGCAATACTAACTCTTTACTCTTGTTTGGCATAGGCTGGCGGTTCGGAGCATACAAGGGGTCTCACCGCAAATGAGAAATTCAATGGGTCACGTGTCAACACGGAAGTCAACGGGGGCTTCCCCAGAAGGGAAGTCGTCTTGCAAAACCATCCTGGCTGCCATGATTGGAAGGAGGCTACCTGTGTGTCTTTTCTTTACTGGCACCTGGTGGTTTGTGGTTTGAAAGGAAAACCAGAACAAAAATCACCGTTTTGAGAGTCCCGTCAACAAAGTCCCCATTCTTGCTTTTGTTGACACATTCCAAATTGTTCTTCAGGGAAGCCCATATTGCCTATAGGCTAAAGCTTGGTGCTCGCGGCGACTGAATTTGAACAAGCGGCTTAGCCGAAAGTCCAATGTTGTCACGAAAATGGCTCTTCCCAAACAAAGATATTCTAATAATCAAACAACAAGACATGAGACGTTGAGGCAAACCATTAAATCAATTATTACCAGTTAACTATATTCTGAAACTCCATGTAACTATGACTCTGAAGCTATTTTTCTTAGTTGTAGGAAAAACTCGCCAAGTAAATTAAATTATCCATTTGAGGCGCCCCTTAAGTTTCCATGTGCTTTGCGGTTAGATTTGACAAGGCCGGAGAAGGAAGAGACCCTAGGAGGGAATACAGTGTTAAGATCGCATGATTTGGAGAGTCCTCTCACTTTCTGAGTGGACTGGTCACAAAAGGTCCGGAATTTCCCGCTGCCACTAAACTGATCTTCCCATGGAAGCACGTCTTCAATGACTTGCCCAAAGGACACCATCATCAAATGTGAATATGATTTGGAAACCCGCCCGAGTACGAGCTGAAGCAAGCGTCGACAAGGGAAACTAGGGTTTGTCTCCTGGTCCTCCCAAAACGGGCCTGGAAATAAAAGGTTAACCTTTTGGAATCTTCACCCAACATTGACCAAAAGCGGGAAAACACAAGGTGAAGAGTCAAAATGCCGATTTGCGTTGCACCAATGAGAACACGGACCATAGACTGTTCATTTTGATGTCTCTAGATTAAAGCATCACATTCTGCGTCCCAGCCAGGCAACTCAAAGGGATGAGGCTGGGTTCCGCTTCATTGATGGTAGACTCATATCCGGCCGATTTTTCCAACTTCACCTGCTTAAAAAGTGTAACTCTAGTCAAGTGGAAAGGCTTGTGCTTGGGAAACGAGACTGGCAACAGTTTTCCGATCTTAGACCCCGACACGGCAAGCTACGTATGGCAAATTGATTACTGAATTGCAGGGGCTGGATAATTACTGATAGTGAAGTACTGTATGGCTAAATTTGGTTCCAAAGTACCCAGACCCCCACTCTAGTTGGCGAAGGAGACGGCCCTTAGTCTTAAAATGTTAATTCTGTAAGACTCACTTCGTGAGTGGGTTGCTAGAAAATGTCCGATCTTTTCGTTTACCAGTATAATGGTCTTCCTAACATATGTCTAAAGTCCAGGAACTCACCAAGTCAGACAACGGTTACCCTCCCATCACCATGGAACCCAGACTGCCCCAGGAACATGGTCGGACCCGTGGACTTCCATGACTAGCCAATATGTGTAAATCTGCCTGGTGTGTTTAAGACAAAAAGGCTCCCCTTGGAATTGGTTGGTAAGGGAAACCAACAGGAAACCAAAACCAAGTGGAATCCAGCAAGCCAACAAAAGGAGAAACAAGGTGCTGAACAATCAGAAGGATCTGCCCTATTTGGCAAGCAGCTCACCGATCCGTGGTGAAAACACATTTTTGACTGTGGCTCACTTGATAAATTCAATCCCCCAGCAGAAACCCAACTAAGTCTGGTCCAAGAAGCAATGGTGTTGATTGTGGCTCAACTGGGAAGGGGTTGTTGCTTGGATATGACTTTTGAGAGTCGTAACTACCTCACAAGTGGTTGGCGGACATGATTTCCCACCTAAATGATGTCCAACAAAGGGTTCACTGTATCAAATTGACACCCATTTGGGCATCTGTCAAAAATAGGGGGACCTTTCAAAATTGGGGCTTTCCCTTTAAACCCGCCCAAAAAGGGTACTGTCAAACAACTCAAAGCCATTTCCGTCATCGCTTTCCACTTGGGCCATCGCGTCCAATTCCTGAAGCACCAAGTCCTCGTCAACCTCGCTGGCCTGGGAACGCCAGCTGGGCTCAGTCAAAATTACAGGTGGCTGAGTAGGGGTTCGAACCTTGGCTGTGTAGGGGCTCGAACAGCTGGCTGAATGCATGTTTTCCCCATGTAAAGGCTTCGCTTGAACTTCCGCCCCCTATGACAACCGGGAGTTGATTGATCTGGGCAACCCATGACAATTAAGTGACCAAAAAAGCGCGCAAGCAAGGAAGGAACCTTCATTACTTGTGGAGTCACCATCAGAATCCTTGTGAGGTTGCAATCTCATATGCTTCTATTATGTGTGTTTCATATTCATATGGCAACCCAGGAGAAGCGAACAACCTGATTGTGCAGGGTTGTGGAAATAGCTGATACCAACGGTTATCTTTGTATTCTGAGGAGGGGGACTCTCTTGGTATCGCAAAACTGTTTCTCTTCATGGCCTTCGTTTCCACAAACCATGGGCTGTGGGTTCCCATACTCAAATGATTCCAAGCCGAACAAGTCATGTTCAGGTCATCAGACCTTGTGGGAACACGGCCTCAAAAGATGCCTCAAAGTCTTAGAAACCTAGGGAGCGAGAGAAGGAGTCAATCGAGCGGGAAGTAACACTACGCTGGCACCTGGCTTCCCTTGAGGAGACTGATCTTGAAGGCATTCAAGTGCAATCTGTTGGAAGGGTAAAGTCGGAACCTTCATTTTCCCTGATGCCACTTGTTATCGGGTCCCCTGGTTGCAATATTTTTGTTGTGTGGGAAATCAACATGTGAGGGGTCGCCCAAAAATAGGGAGACTAATCTTTGCGGAGACAAACCAATCCAGCCGATGTTTAGAGAAATTGGTTGGGCATCACACTGATTATTTACTCACATGAGTGGAGTGGCCAAAAAGTAACCACGCGGTTTGTTTGCCACGAAGAGGTGTTCCCCAAGAAGAAAAAATGGGTGACCAAGTGAGTGGGTTCCAAAGAGTTCAACTAGATGCTACACACATATGCGAGCGATCGGAACCGGTTTCTTAGAACCCGTACGGAGAAGTCCGGGAGGCGACCGTTCGGCCCCCAACTCGTTTTTCGCTCGTAAGAGGTGAACTGGAGGTCAAACAACCGGTTTGGGATTGGAAACACATGGTCATTGTAAGGGGGATTGCCTTGGTATCACATGGCCCTGAAGCCCCGTTTTTACAACAATGGTTTTCGCAAAAGGAAAACTAAAGCCCATGAACTCGGGCAGTGAGAAACGTGAACAGAACTCAAGAAGCAGAAGCAGCCAAATTTAAACTGCCCAGGTTCTGCTCGGTGAGCGATACCAAAAAGTGCTTGATGCCCATGACTACTCAACCACTTTGAAGGGCGTTGCGTTCAAAGAAGCTGGCAAGGTCCTAAAGCATCGCCGCTGCTCCATGTGTTTAGTCTTCTCTACGGAACAATGGGATTGCAAATGGAATTCCAGGGGTCACCCCCTCCCCCCAAGTACATTCTGACGGGGGCATCCACAAATCCGCAATTTTCACAGAATGCCTCCAGTTTCCGTTCCATGGCAACGGCTTCATTTTCGTTTGCTACCCCAAGGAAGACTTAAACCCAGGGTTTCAACTTGGGAAATCAACAAATGCTGGGTTTAAGTGGGTGTCTGAATGCGAGGCTACCTTCTTCTTTTCCGGAAAACCAGAAGGACGACCGAAATAGAGACACGCCCAAGCCTACCTCTTGGATTAATCAACGGAACGGGCGGGTTCCTCGGTTCCTGCCACCCGGAGCCTGAAGGCGACGCCTCGCCTGAGAGGAGTTCTCGAGATCCGATGTGCTCTCTGCATCCGAGGAGGCGCCGATGGTGGTGGTATCATCCTCCTTGTCTTGTCCCTGGCCAGGTCAATGGGAGTGTCTCTTTTGTTTGAGGGTACGCCCTTTGTTGGGGGTGTTAAAGAACAACAGAAGCAACACCACCACTTCGGGGTCGCTTAAACAGCACGCCCAAATGGCATGCGATTCAATTTTCCTAGGGGGACCGTGGTCAAACAATTGCAAAAATGAACAGCATGCGTGTTGCCTTGATGGGGCTTATAAAAGACGGGTTGGCTGAAACGGAAACCAAAAGGCAGAGCATGACGTTTGGCAGTGTCGCACAGCGATAAACCAATCGGTAGATTATACAAAACAGTTGTCCCGAAAAAAAAGGAAAAATAAAAAGGAAAAACACCACCATTGGAAGGCAATCCAGACACGTGTTCATGTGTTTCCCCTCTTTTTGTTATTATAATAATCTTTTTATTCCTTTCCGGTGGACCAACTGGCGGCGAACTTTATGGCACCCTTGAAGGGTGCGGTGCAAGAAAGCCCAGGAAACTGAACCATCAAAGGACGTTTGGAAATGTTTGGAATAATATGTTATAATGGAACTTGAGCTAGCTCTCTCCAAGAATGCACCTGCGCGTGATCTTTTAAGACGTGAACTGCAGGTCCGTGAAAAAGCTACGAACACGCAAACACAACTTTGAACCCCTCAATGTTCACTTGAAGGGGGAGCAAGTTTACTTTCTTCTGGACGCGAAGGCTTCCTTCACACTGACTTGGATGTCACTTTGATGGAGCGAGTCATCGACTGGATTCGCTTTGGATACGGCTTGAGCTGGTCCTGAATTGTAGCCGTACCCCGGTCGTTCATGGATCCTTCTCTCTGGAAAACGGAAACGTGGTGAAAATAGCCAGTTTCTGAAGAGAACGATGGGTGACAAGAATGGGGCATCAAAGCCTAAAGCCTTGGAACGATCCATTCCTTTTTCAGGAACCTTTCTATTCTCCGAGAAGACTCCTCGGGACCAAACCGGCAATTGCTGACGTAAAAAGCGCAAACACTACTTTGGACGTTCTCGAGCTCTTCGCTTCCCGAGACGGATTTCATTGTTAGGGGGAGCAGTGTTCTCCTGAAACACTTTGTTGCGCCGACCTGCTCGCAAACCAAGAGTAGAAATGGCCCGCGATCTGAGCCTCAAGCTTGGTCTCAAAAAAACGAAGCGATAGCAGGTTGGAGTATTATGACTGCCGTTGTTTTTAATTTCATTTTGACCCCAAATGAATAAACCCTTCCCATTAATAAGGGGGGTGTTCCCTGCAACACTGGTGAATCCCCACTTCAAGGGGGTGCCCCCCGCCTTCATCAACCAGGGGTTTACAAATCCGGGGTGCCGACTTGCAGAACAGTGATCAGATTTGCACCGGTCACAGCTGCTGGGTCTTATTTGTGTATTATATATGGGTCTGTGTCTTTAAGGTTGTACCCCCAAAAAGGCTTTGGCGTTTCTTTCGGTTTTCCCTTTAAACAAAAAGAAAGGGGTGCCTTCAAAAAGAACAACCCAGCATAAAGCAAAACTGTTCTACAACACTTCGGAACAGATTTTCTTCTTCGAAGGGACGACCTGGAGAACGCCAACTCCCCTGGCTTAGGGCCTTTAACAAGGCCCTGAAGATATGCTTTGGGGAGGAAACGGAGGGAGAGGCGTACGAGAGGTTGGAGTCCTGTGACCCCTCAAGCCTCAAGGGGCCCAGAGGATAACCCCTGTGCTAGCCTGCACTGACTTGTCTCCAACATGAACAGATTGAAGGCCAAGAGCAACCAATTATTTAGGAACATGTTCACATCCCTTTGACACTTTGTCCATCCCCAGATTGATTACGGATGTGGTTCAATCACGATTCAGGAAACTTTGGGAACACTCACATCTCCAACTGGGTATATGAAAGAGATGCTGCGGGCGGGGAAACCAGAGCCCCGCTCCATCCCGCAGGAAAGGTTGGGAGAGGAAGCATGTTAAATTACTCACTGGCGTCCGATTTCAAAGTATGGGCCTGCGTGTTTCGTCACCATAATTCACGAATTGGACATGAGGGGGTCACTGGAATTCCCAAAAGTTGCAGGGCTCCTGGATGGTGGATGCCCTAAATATTGCAAGTAAATCAAGCACACCCACTGACAAACAATGATAAACTATGGTACGGGGAGGGGTTTCCTAGTTCCCTTACTCTCGCGTTACCCCCCCTTTTCCCGGTGAGCTCGTGAACTCAAGCACCCCAAATCCAAATGGGCGGCAACCCAAAACGCCTATGTATTGATCTGTCGGTTTTGAGGTTAACCTCCCCCCCGTTTTTGCCAGTTTAGCCACCAGAAGACTAGGTCGAACTATACCTACTAAAATTGCCAATGCTGGGCGCTGCTCAGATGACTCCATTAAGGCGACATCCCATACGTGTGCAACCACGCCTCTCTCTCCGTAGCGTGAACCTCTTCAAGCGCATCCCACAGCTCCTCAACGCAGTCAAGGCTCCCTACACGGCTATGGAAGTCCCTTTGGACATCATTTACATGGTTGGATTCATGCCCTACAGTACCAGGAAAACCATAATTTGGTGGGGTCCCCATATTTGGTCACAAACCCATCCTGCCTAAACATCTCAAGAGGGTTCCTCTTGACTCAAGAGGAACCTCACCAAAGTTTGGTCCCAGATTAACGTTAAACCTGGCTTAAGAAGGACATAATCATAAGGATTGGGTGCTTCAACTCCCTGTTTAAGCCGTGGTTTAAACGCCTATTGTCCGAACAACCTCCTTTTGGTTCAAGGGGCCTCCACCTCCCTCGTGGGACTTACCCTTTTGACTAGAGTCAATGGATATGAACCACTGCCCATCTCGCCCTTTCGCGGCCTTGTCTCCGTCAATTGAACAGGCCCTTTCGTCTTAAGGGAAAGCTTTCATAAAAACCAATATGCTTAGAATTTGGCTTGAACGACAAATCTCAAAAGGAAAGCACTCATTTATAAGGTGCCGTATACTATTCGGAGAATATATCATTTTTTGGAGTGGGGGTCCCTGATTTGACAATCATCTGTAAAAACAAGTTTCCTGGTATGGACTCTCAATTTGCGGCGGAAAGTCCAGCAATTTGGCCTAAAGCAAAAGACCCACCTAAGTTATTTGCTATAAAAGGGCAAGCTAAGTAGATAACCCTTCTATTATTTGGGATAGGATTGAAAAGAACAGCTTTCCCCTCACTGGGAGCCACCCTGCGCCAAAACTAACTCTTCGTCATACTTGGCCTGCCACAAGGGCATCATGCTGCCTGTGCCCCTGGTTTTCTCTTTTCGCGGTGTCACTTCTGCTGGACCTTGAGTGGTAGCATCTTCTCATCTTTCTCTCGAAGGTTTTGGTCCATTTACTGAAAGGAAACAAACCTAGGATGGTTCACATCGGGGTCATTCACACTCATTCCCCACCTGTCGAACAAGCAAGTCCTCTGAATATATATATATATATATATATGCATTTCGTCACCCCTTGGACAGAATTTTTGGTGGTGCTGATTTCTAATGCCCACCCACTTTGGAGGTTCTAGCCCCTGGCTGGTTTTGATTCGCTTGGTGGAGCAGCATCACATTTGGAGGCCCCAGCCCGTGTGTTGGCCGAGCGCTACTTCGATCCGGGGTCAACCATCGGGCCAGCCCGCGCCTGCACGCGCACCGACTCTGCGCCCAGAGAGGCGAAGGAGTCCAACTCCTCAGCAACCAAAATCCCCTGAAAGGAAGCCACTCGTTAACTCTGATGCCCAGTGGCCATTGGGAAAAAAGGGCATCCTTTTCTGGTTGGTCGACTTTAAAGGGGGAACTCTTCCCCCAAAAACAGAAAACTTCGCTTCGAGCAATCCCTGCTCTCCACACTCACAAGCTTACGACCGTGAACACGGTTGTGTGAATTCAAGCATGGTTTTCGAGTGGCTTGAGGCCTATGACTGCTCAACAAGCTTTGCATTGAGAGCCTTATCCACCTGTCTGTGTGTCAAACTCCACCTGTCTGCGAGCCGATCTCGAGAACTCAAACATGGGTTCCGTTAACAAAAGCCAACCCCCTTCCAAAAAGAAACCCGACGGGGATTAAACGAAGTTGCTTATTCACAACCCAAAGCAACACAAAAGCATCACCCTTTCCGAGCCTCAGGGTACACTCAAAACACGAAGGCACCAAGATGAAATGTAAACCCAACTGCTCGCCGGGCGGGACATTAAGCAAAATCAGGCTGGCGAGCTGCTCTGGCGGGATACTGGCGGGATCGCCGGCGAATGCTGGCGGGCCGCTCAGGCTCGATACTGGCCGGATACTCGGCAGCATCCACCGGCAAGGGATACTCCGCGGGCTACTCGGCAGGATGGCGAGCGCGGGATACTCGGCGGGATCCACTGGCGAGCTGCTCTGGTGGGATACTTGCGGGATCCACTGGCGAGCTACTCTGGCGGGCTACTCGGCGGGATCCACTGGCGAGCTACTCTGGGATACTCAGCGGGATACGCAGCTCTGGCGGGAAGCTGGGCGGGATCCACTGGCCAGCTGCTCTGGCGGGATACTTGGCGGGATCCACTGGCGAGCAGCTCTGGCGGGATACTGGGCGGGATCCACTGGCGAGCAGCTCTGGCGGGATACTCGGCGGGATCCACTGGCCAGCTGCTCTGGCGGGATACTCGGCGGGATCCACTGGCGAGCTGCTCTGGCGGGATCTGGGTGGGAGGCGTGGTGTAGAAGCATCGCAGACGCGGATTCCAACATAAAATCTAACAACCCCTTCCTGTCGGGTGGGGAAAACAAGGGCACCACTGGGTAACTGGGTCAAGAGCATTGTCAGTTTTGGGCTTTCAAGGTATGCATACTTCTGTACCAAATTTATAGGCTTGTAAGGCGGAATGTACCACTTATATAAGTGGTATATGACCTCCATACCTCTAAAACCCATATCTGAATAGACCCTTGCAAAAGGGATGGCTAAGGGCATGGACAAAAATGAAAAAATGCACTGGGTATTTGGTGCACCTAGACAATATATATATATATAAAAGCATTAGAGCTCGACCCCTAGTTCTTGCGGGGAAACTGAGTGAGAACCTCATGTGGTTGCTACCAGAAACAATGGAACCGTCGTTTTTGGAAGAAGCCCCTTTTGGGAAATGGACTCTTTCTGGATGCCATGTAGAAAATGCAGGGGAGTTCATGTGACCCTTCATGTCCTTGTGGGTCGAAACAGCATCCTTTCCGGGTTCCATTGATGTGTGCTTTGATTGCACATGTGTTGTCCACCATGGTCACAACCAGTTACACATGTTCAAATTTGGTTGTGCAAGTGCATAAACCAAAAGCCACACAAGGAACACATTCTAAAAAAAATGGTAACGATTCATGGCTAGGTTATAACTCAATTTGAAACACAAGTCAAAGTGGAGGAAGCCCTTTGGTCCAACAGATTCTTTATGGGGGCCCAGCCTGGGTAAAGCAAAGATGAATACAGCCCTCGTTGATTGACAGGGATGTGCCATTCTTGGGATCCAAATTTCACTCTTGGTTGAATCCGCCAGGTTAATTCATGGGCGAACATGCACTCGGGGCCACCTGTTTTAGGCAATCTTCCAAAACACATCCTGTTAACAGTCAACACATAATTCAACACATAATTCCGGACACTAAATCCGGAAGTGTTTCCAAAACACATCCACAATTCCGGAAAGTTGACTGAAATTGGGACCCCTTGCGTAACAGCGGATCTTGTGAATTGCCGTTGAACGCAGGGGATTGTTCGCTAGCGACTCATCGAGAAACACCCCGGCTTTCGCCTTGCCCAAGTCCATCATGCCGCTCATGAGGTTGGCAAAGAGGATCTGCACGAGGCGTGGGAGATCCAGGGTGCCACTTAGTCTTCGGAGGGTTCAATCCTACACAGCGTTGGCAATAAGGCTATAATGGGGTCATGCCCCATCTTTCAAATTATCCAGCATAAACCACACTCAGTCTCTCAAGAAAGGTGAACCTTGTTGTGCGGGCGATAACCTAGAAACTGCCCTGCGAGGACCAATTCAAACATCATTGCAACGATTCATGATTCGAGTTGTTCGCCTATGTTCGGAAACATCCATAGGCTCACATATCCGACCCCACCAGCGAAATTTAAACACCCCTCCGACCCATATTTCGCAAGTATCTGGCTTTGTCATTTAGGAGGATACCCCCTGTTTCGGGGATTTCTCATATCAAGCTGAAGGGAACCCACTCAGGGGCAAGCGCAGCCCGAATCTGGGGGCCGAAGGTGGCCAGAAGAGGAGAGAGCCTCATAGACCCAACCCAAAGAAACATTCGACAGTTGCACCCACAAGCTCTTAGGCGGCATCTGGAACACACCGAACAAATAACAATCTGTGGCGACTCTTCCGTTGCTGCCCACACTAGAATATATCATAGGTTTGGAGGATGACTCTGTTCCCTTTTTAGTCTACTCAAGGGAAGAACATATTTTTCGACCCTATGTGAAGAGTATTTGGGTTCTTTTTTTGAGGGTGCCCGTTTGAACCAAAAGGACAACTAGCATTTTGGGGCGTCTGGATCCCAGCTGTGCCCTTTCCGTGCGGACGAGTAGCACCAAAAACACAGCGTAAGTCCGGAGGCTCGCCCTGTCAAAGGCCTGGCTCTGCTGGATGGTGCCGAAGGTTACCGCGCCTGAGAGAAACCTCAAACCGCAGGCGGCCGGGCGGTGTCCATCTTAAGGGTTGACCCTGATTCCAGGGCCACAAGGTGATGTTGGAAAAGACTACAAAAAATCAGTTGCCCCTTAGGGCCCCACAAATAACAGGTGATCGCGTTTTGGGGCCATGACTAAAACTGGGCCGAACAAGGGAAACTAAAAGGTCCTTTGATGTCGATTCTCTTTGGACAAGTCAGAAAAGGAATACCTGAAATAAGCCACCGGATCGGTTACGCCCAAAGAGCAGTTCTTGTATTATGTATGATAGATTTAGTCTATCCCAACACACCCAATGATTTTGGAGGAGACCCCAGCACGGTTGTCAGGCAGTTCTAAAACGCCGTGCTTTTCCAGAGGAACAAAACCAAGCAGTCACTTCTTGAGTGGATTGGCTGACAAGTCCACACTCACCATGCAGTCATTACTGGTCATGTCTGGAAGGTTGGAGTTTCAAGTCTACTTACTAAAATGCTTGGTAATTTACTCAGGTTTGCGAACTTTTGGATCTCCCAAAAAAAAGTTCGCGAAGGTTTGCGAACCCCATTTTGAGTTTGCGAACCCGGCCAGGCATTGCGAACTGTGAGTCGAACCCGTAACAGGTTTGCGAACCTGTGCGGATCGTCATTGCCTGCCCGCCCCCCCCGAGTGGTGACCACTGCCCTGAGTAATCCACAGAGCCTTCCTTGTTCCCTTGCCAAACGATGGTACGGAATCCTCAGCTTTGGCCCGACCAAAATTTATGTCTTTGATTTTGGTCCATTATAAACTTGAACATGTCCTTTAACAGGGAACCCACCAGAGAGTCCTTTTAAAGAAAACTAGTCTTCCAGGACCCCTCAGTCAGGTTCCATGTTTGTGGAAAAAGAGGCAAATCAAATTTCAAACGAGTTTGGAGCGCAATCCATGGTGAACCTCCAAATCAAACACACATATGAGACACATATCAATGCACGTTCAGGGTTTGGTGGATACATGAATCATATCGAAAGAGATTCCAGTCCGACAGTCTGTCGTTCTCTTGATGGCTTGAGCGCTCCACATGGGCGCAACGATCATCATAGGCATCAACATGAAAGCCATCTGCACAACGCCTGGCAAAAGGTGCGACTGTGGCCAATGGCTTTTCCCCAACAGCGGCAGGGCGGGTGCTGATTTGAGGGTACCCTTGTCAGGCTGCTTTCAAGGGAACCACACGGAAAAGCTTGGCATTGTGTGGTCCCTGGCTCTGAAGGTTGCACGTGAGTGTTTTATTTCAACCATTGATGGGGCGACCTGGGGGATACTTCTTGGGCTTGGATTGCACCATGCAACATTTGCCCGGCAGAACCCAAAGGTGGTGTGAGCAATCGGCTCTAAACCCCTCGAAAACAGAACTGGTGCCAACAGAACGGCAAACATGACGTTTTTTAGTGAATCTTAGGCCTCATGTGCGAGGTGTGTGTTTGGGGGCGCTTTTCGGCTCTGGGCGCAATGTCGGAGTTGCCTTTGTGTCTATTATAATGTTAGCACTTGATTAATAAAGGCCCCCCCCCCGGACAATGGAAGCGCCAAAACAATGGGGGTGCACTTTTGGGACGTCCGAACAATGGAGGATTTTGGGGTCCAATTCTACTTTAGTATTGCAGCCACTTCCTTTTTGCAATTCTACTTTAGTATTGCAGCCACTTCCTTTTTGCAATTCCACTTTAGTATTGCAACCACTTCTTCCTGAGCAGACTTTTTGGAATACTACTTTAGTATTGCAACCACTTCTTCCTGAGCAGACTTTTTGGAATACTACTTTAGTATTGCAACCACTTCCCTTCAGTTCTTTCTGTAGCCATTCAAAGGGGTGTGCCTTTCAGCCAGGGAGGGCTTGAGCTAGAATGAAACCAGGGGATGCTTTTAAGCAAGTGGGCCACCAATTGAAAGGGGATGCTTTTAAGCAAGTGGGCCACCAATTGAAAGGGGAATGCTTTTGAGTAAAGCAACTGATAGCTTATTTTCTGGGAGGGGGGGCTGGGGGCTTGCAACTATTGTGGTCCCCTGAAACAATGGCATTATTGTGGTTCAGTGGGGTCTGTGAAGGGTACCCTTGTCCTGATTGTTTTTTTTTTTTTTTTTTTAAACACGGTTTAATAAAGAGTTTGCAGTTTCAGGGCTGGGGATGGTTTTCAATTTCTGAGGTTTCAGCTGGCTTTGGGTTCTGTGGTTGAGCAACCAAGTGAAAGGGGAATGCTTTGAAGCAAGTGGGCCACCAATTGAAAGGGGATGCTTTTAAGCAAGTGGGCCACCAAATGAAAGGGGATGCTTTTAAGCAAGTGGGCCACCAATTGAAAGGGGAATGCTTTTGAGTAAAGCAACTGATAGCTTATTTTCTGGGAGGGGGGGCTGGGGGCTTGCAACTATTGTGGTCCCCTGAAACAATGACATTACTGTGGTTCAGTGGGGTCTGTGAGGGGTACCCTTGTCCTGATTGTTTGTTTGCACTTTTTTAACACGGTTTAATAAAGAGTTTGCAGTTTCAGGGCTGGGGATGGTTTTCAAATTTCTGAGGTAGACAATCTTCAGATTGGTTGAGGCCAGTTTTTGATGGAGCTTCAGGTGTGATTGTTTGGGCATGTTTGTGAATTTGTTTGCATTTGGTATGGGGTCAACATGGATTTTGGGTGATTGTTTGGGGGGGGGGAGGTGTTTTTTAATTAACATTGATTTGTGGAGATTTTTTTTGGAATTCCCCCCCCCCCCCGGGCAAAACAACTTTCAATTATTCTGGCCCCCCTAAACAATGGGTGCGAACCAGAATAAGGAAAAACACTTGCCATTATTGAAGCCGGTTGATTAATCAAGTGTTAACATTAGTCTATGGTGCTTTTTCCATAGCCTGCCAAACGTCGAAAAGAGCGACGCTGGGCAGCAGCGTCAAGTATGAAGTGAAATAGTTTGTGTTGACTGTCAACACTTGATGTCAGCACCCAGTTGCTTCTATACGTTGGCTGGCTAGAATGCTTCAGCAGCTCGGCTGCGTTTGCCACTTCTGCGGACAGTTGCATGGAGCTAATCCAGGGGCAGCGCAGCTCCATTTCTGCCAAGGCTTTCGAATTGTCGCAATGGGGTCACTAGTGAGACCACAAACTGCTAATACACGAGACACAGGGCTTGGTTTTGTTGTAGTGGGGTCGCTATAGAGGGAAACCACCATCTCAAAATGTCTTGGTTTTGCTGGTCACTGGTGAAACCACACACCCAAAACGCTGATACGCACGGCCAACGGCTTTTGGTGTTGTTGTGGTGGGGTCGCCAGTGACAGGAACCCAAAATGAGCCCTCAGCAAATGTCCCATTCCAACAAAAGCAGGTTTCGTTTAAAACTTAAAACTGACTCAAACACGCTCAACATGGAAGAACTCCCAGGACCAGTAAACAACGGATGTAATTACAAAGCCCTTGGAGCTTGGGTCAGACTGCAAAGCCCTGAATTTTGTGGGCACCGCCGGCAAATACACATGCTTCATCTTCCTTTTAGCCAGCCCTTACACACTCACAACTTTCGCACACAACTTTCACGACCTCCATCGCTTTTGCGGAGGGCAACGCAAGGACCAACAGGTATCTGAATGCAAGGCCCTTTCGGACGACTCGCATATGGACCACGCAAGGGGAGATCTGGTCGTTCCGCCTTGGACACATGAGAATGCCCAGATATTTCTTCTGATAGGATTGTCCAGGCCTGTTAGCCAAAATACCCATGCCCATGCTCCATGCCCCACACATCCCGGCGCCTGTCACCATACGGAAGGTCACTTCGATGGCCTTAGGCAGGGACGACGATTTGACAAAACATGGTTTCCACTCACTACTAGGGAAAATATACACGCCTTGTAGTGGCAGTGTCTCTATAATAGCTGCATCTCCCGTTAGACCCCTACGGTGCTGCATCTAGGATGCTGTTCCACTATCACCCAGGGAAAGGGGCAGAGGCACCGGAACCATGTTGCCCATGTCGAAAGGCGCAAAGAGACGTGCCGGAAGTGCCTCATGCTCTGAAAAAAGGCCGCAACGCTGCTTGATGCACCAACATGGAATCCAAACAAACACAATTCAGAGATTTGAGTGTGTCTTAACATGGGGAGAGGACGCACAAACTGGTGGTTATCCTGTTGGTGTCCTTTTCGAGCCATGGCAAAAGGGTGGTTTTTAGAAAAAACGCATATGTTTGAGGAACTTCCTTTTAGGGATCCCTTGCTAGGGCTGTTACTTTGCCAAGCCAAAAGACGTTTTGTGACGCAAGACGCTTGGAGTAAGTCTAATGGCAACCTCTTCTTTCCAAATGGTCCCTTGTGTGATTCGGTTCGGTCACACCGAAGACCATGGTATGCGGCTCAAAGGCGACTGTGCAGGTCCTAGATTCGGGTGAAGTCACATTCGCCTGGATTCACCCGGGTTACAACCCATAAAAGCAAGTACCCTTATCGGAGTTCTTGTTTGCGCGGGTTGTACTATGTTGCAATCCCTAAAGGGGGTGGTCCAAGTGAGGGCTAAGGCTCCCTAAGGACCCCCCGAAACACTCTGGAACCCAAAGTTCCCTAAGGCTCTTAACTACCCATTGTACCTACACCCTTTCGGGATTCGATTCTGCAATAATATAAACCTGGCTTAATCCAACCTCCTAATCCGGCCTTGACCTTCTGGTGCCCAATCCATCCGTTTGATTGAATTATCTGGAACCGACAAAGATTCGCCAAATGCCACAACTTGACAATAAACGCGCTTGAGTGAGTCACAATCAAACAGCTGGTGAGCTGGAAAAAAAACCCGTATTAAAACTCTTATCCCAGGATGTTTTCATTGCAAATCCAAGCGGCGGTCTTCATAAGAGTGAGGTCCCCCAAAAACATGCCCCTTGAGTGTATGAGGTCTCAGGTGTGTACACCGCTGCAAATTGTTGTTGCTGGCTGCTGCTGCTGGCTGCTGGCTGCTGCTGCTGCTGCTGGCTGCTGCTGCTGCTGCTGGCTGCTGCTGCGGCTGCTGCTGCTGGCTGCTGCTGCTGCTGCTGGGTGCTGGCTGCTGGGTGCTGGCTGCTGCTGGCTGCTGCTGGCTGCTGCGGCTGCTGCTGGCTGCTGCTGCTGCGGCTGCTGCTGCTGGCTGCTGCTGCTGCTGCTGGCTGCTGCAACTCATTGCTGGGATCTGCAGAAACAAAGAAAATGCAAACTACAGACATGGGCCACTCCTGATCCAAGGCATCTACGACTTGCGCGCGACTTGCGCGCGACTTGCGCGCGACTTGCGCGAAAATTTAGCAATCTTCCGGACTCTTTCGACCATGCGGATGATGATGATGATGATGATGATGATGATGATGATGATGATGATGATGATGATGATGGTGATGGTGATGATGATGATGATGAATCATCACTGCGTCACTTGCGCTTCACTTGCGCTTTACTTGCGCGGCCCCATGTTTGACTTGCGCGGCCGCTCCTGCAACACACTCCTGCCATTCAAATTACAAGCGGCGGTGCAGCTAATTTGATAGGTCCAAAAGACCTGGGATCATGCCTTACATTGACACATACAACGGGTTTCTTTTTTCGACTCTGGTCTCACTACGGTCTAACATCAGGCCGGATACGCAAGCATCTTACACCTGCTTGTGGTTCGGCCCGCCTAACCTTCCCTTACTCGGACTTTTATTGCAGCTGTGGGGCAACCACATTGCACAAGAAATTGACATGTAGCAATATTGACGAAACAACAAGGCTAGACACTTTGTATTGGCTCCATTATTTGGCACCTTTTCCACGTACCAACTTTACTTTTGACAGGCTCAGGCCCGGGCAGCTTTCTTGTAGTTGGACCTCGGGCTGGAATAGGGCGATGAAAACCGACTCGGGCTTGAGCTTGCAGCAACACATACGATCACTTGGTCAATGACCTGCCAACACATGTGACTAAGGGAAAAGCCGCCAGGAAAAAGCAAGTAAAGTGTGTCCACTGGCTGGGTGAGTACTTGTTGTTTATTGGTGAAGAAACCATGTTGCAAACAAAGCTGAAGGTGAAAAGGTCACAAAGTGCATGCAAACTAAGAGCCAATGGACGATGTATAGCGCAATTGGAGTTTGGGCCGTGTAGAACCAGTAGAGTATTACGCTTCATTGTTTGCGTCAATTTTAAGGCTGACAAGAATGCAAGTCTTGATCGGGCGTTTCGGAAACCCATGTATTCCCAGGATCCTGCGCTCTTTTCAGAGCCAATCAGCCATAGAGCAATTGGGTGTTGGACCTAGGTCCTTGATGGCCCCCAAAAAGCCGGTAGTAGTGACTTGTCACCAGGCTGCAATGTCTCCCCTTGGCTCTGAAGCTATGTCATGCTGCGTTCCAAAGGCCCTGATACGGATTGTGTGTGTATGTGTGTGTGTGAGAGAAAGACCCCTGGAAAAGGGAAAAGCCAAAGGAATTGACCAACCAGCTGGAAACGAGTAATGCAAGATGCCACTGACAAAGTGACACTCACCAATCACCAACCGGTATTGATGGAGTCTAGCCCAAAGAGTCAAAAGAGCGGCCGAATCCCCCAACGTGCAGACACTGGCTTGAAGCCGGATGCCTTGCCTACTTGGATGTTCAACCAATTTTGTAAGCATGCTATACCAATGATTATATCATCTGGTTTGAAAATGCAACTAATGCTGCGAAACCCAAGGAGGGTCTCCGAGGAAGCTAGACCCGAACTTTTTCGGAACCCGGTAAGGCCAACAGCGGCAACCGGGCCGGGCCAAGTCGCGGGGAAGCTGCTATAGCCGATAAGCACATACTTTCTGCCCTGAACAACCAGCATGCGGTTGGGTACTTCAACAGGAAGATTAATGATACCTCTCTACAGATTAACACAGAACCCCGAACACCGCATGTGTAGACAAAGTTCCTTTTGGGGGACCCTCTTGTTTGGCTTCCTTCTGTAAATTTGTAAGGTCCCGTAATTTTCTCACCCAAAAAGGCCTTGGTAAGCCACGAAAGGGAATCCTGTTGATGTATAGCATCCATGCCTCTGGCCTGAGGCTTGAAAACCATGTGTTTGGTAGGTTGCTAAAGGCTGTCTTGGTCGGAAACATGTTTGGGTTCTGAGCAAGGTATATCCAACCAGTAACTCTAAACTCTGAATGTCTGAAAGTCTTTGGGAAAACAAAGACACACACACACACCAATTCAGCGAATGCAATCCACGAATTTATGAATCAGGGCTGCACAAGGGCGATTCAGACCGCCCAGGTTCCCATCTCTAAGGTTCGCTCCAAATGACGTGGTCAAGAACCTGCCGGGAGAGGCCATCGCACGTGAGGATACTTTGTGGCAGGACGGTCCCACGGCCAAACATGAGCAATGAAGCAATGGACTAGAGGCTCAGTCTAAGAAACCAGCACAGGAGATTCCACCGGATTTGTCTTTGCTTGTGGCAGATGGTTAGCCAGTTTTCGGCAGAGATTCCTGCAGTTGGTTTCTATGATTCAGGCCAAAATGTCGTGCATTTTCATAAGTTGTTCAGCCTTTGATTCTAACGGCTCTCTGCCACCTATATATATATATATATGTATAGGTACGTATGCATACAGGGGGAACCGGGATCAGTTTTCCGTTGACATTCACTCAAACCACGCCACCAACAGGATACCCGGCCTTTATTTCAAAACTTGGTCTCTATCTCTGTGGGCCTCTACGGTGCCAAGAAAGTCCTGCAATTATGATGTCTGATGTCATGTCTGGAGTTGTGTCTGAAATCATGTCTGAGATTATGTCCAAGCTCCCAGGTTGCAAGCCATTCTCTCACAAACTCAAGTGATGCAAGTTACAAATGAGACTGTCCACAAAAGGGAACCGCAATTTAAGGGGGACTCCATGTCACTACACCTGGGCTCTGCGAGGTCTTCGTGGCCTAAGCCTCCCAAACAGCTCTCCCTCTTCCCCAGCACACTGCGTGCTCTCTTTTTGCGAGTTGGCTCTGCCAAAACTTGCTCAGGCCTAGCAACCTACAACACAGCAGCGAAAGGCACAGTTCGGCAACATGTGTGTGTGTCACCATAGGGTGCCAGCCCTAAGTTCCAAGCTGTGAGTTAGTGCTTCAGCACATCAAGTATCAGCTGCAGTTCTCAAGCATCCATCATAAATCATGCCAAACCATGCCAAACCATGCCTTAACATCTCACCGCTGCAGTGCGCCTAGCGACAGTGTTGAGCTCTCAGACTCCCCCTCTGAGCTTGAGCTCGCGGAAGCAGGGGACTGCTCTGCCTGCTTGTCTGCCACTTTCGGCGAAGCTTCAGATTGGAGGAAAAGGGATGATGAGGAACTGGACAAGGAAGCCAAGGAAGCACTTGAGGCTGAGTCAGCATCAGAGCCCTCTTGATTGTCTGATGCCACCCACGTCCAGCCAACGCCATGGTTGCGCTGCAGGATCTGCCTTGCAAGAAAACTCACCCCCGCAAAAGAAGGAAAGAAAACAACAGACCTGTTACTCACAAAACTCTTCCGCCACTGCTTCCAACTGAACACAGCGTCCCAGACTGCCATTCTTTGTCCGAGCTGCTTCCCCTCTGGCCCCAGGCCAAGCGCAAACAGCAGAAGGCCCATCACCGCAGCCCCCGCCACCGAAGTGGTCATGCTGTTGCCTGCGCACGTGGCAATCAGAAACCATCATGCATGCGGCACGCGATTTGCTCATTAATCATCTGAGTCAGACAAGGCCAGTCGGGCAGCTAACCTCACACCTCAACAAGTAAGTCAGTAAGTCTCAATATGAGTGTCCGGAATCAGGGGTACACATCTCGTTGACAAGCGATCAATGGCTGGAGTTGGGTCAACAGCTGTGCGACACAAAACACTTGGGCAGCAAGCACAAATCAATGACTCTTCCAGTTACTGCATGCGCAGCTGCAAGGAAACATTTTTTCTCCCATCAGGCTCCGGCAGCTGCGCTGCTATGGCGTCCGTGCTACTTCTTAGACTTCCTGCCACTCTTCTTGTCCTTGTTGTCTGGGCTCAAGTTGCGCTTTGAAGGCTTTGGCTCTGCCTCCTTCTTGCTTTTCTTCTCCTTCTTCTTGCCCTTGTTGTCACTCTTGCTCTCCTTGTCTTTTTTCTCCGGCTCCTTGCTGGTCGGCAGCAATTGCAAGAGCTTGCTTGGCAAGGCTTCCGTCCCGAAGCCAAAATCAGCTTTGGTTGCCGCAGTGAGTTCTTGCACTTCGTCAAAACTCACAGATTCACCAACGAGAGCTTGGTGAGTAAACATGATGGTCGTGGCAAGGAGGGAAGCGTCTGCACAGCTGGAAGTGATCTTCGCATTTCCTTGTTCGGCTGCCGTGAGGAGCTTCTTCAAATCGTCGCACTGCGTCACGTGCTTCGCCAAATCCCCCAACGCACTGCAGGGAGGCTGCAACGCAGATTGCCTGGCGTCTCTGAAACGCTCCAGATCCTGCTTCACATGTTCCTCTCCCTCCTCTTTGAAGACCCATTCCACTGGCTGCAGCTGCCACTTTTGCACAGCCTCAGTCACAGCCTCATATTTCTGCATAAAGGCGCTGATCGGTGGCAGGAAGCTCTTTTCTGTGACCTCAATCGCCCTCCCGAGCAGCTTGATGAAGTTTGTCTTGTAGGTCACGCACTGGTCCAAGCAGCCGTGTAGCACTTCATCGTTCTGCACCTTTTGCATCAGAGCGCTGTTGGTGGCGCTGTGAGCTGATTCGAAGAGAGGCAACTTGGAAATGAAGAAGGCCAAGTCATCGCCCCCGCTGTCCTGGATGGACTTGATCTCCGTGGGCCAATTGCCTAGACAGCACAGGCGAGCAACCGTGGCCCTGCAAGCTACAAGGCCACCCTGAATGATTAGAATTAGAAATTAGAAGTTAGAAGCCTCAGTCGTGAATCTAGTGTCAATCCGTCCAATTGGTTGCAGCTTGTTCCATGAGCTGTTGCCTGCGCCGCTTGGAAAGCGCAGGGCAAAAAAAAGGTACCGGTACAACCAACAGAAACACCCTGAATCCTGATCATCCTGCCATCATTCATTCATACTGCATACTTGCTGTGCAAAATGTTTCCCTAAGACCTAAGATACTAGCAAACAAAATCACAAATAACAAGGCCATCGACCCTGCCCCTCCCTCGCCAACCGCTTGGTGCAACCGAAGAGCTTGCCAGCTGAAGGGCGTGGGCAATGGGCTGAAGCCTTTTAGGTAGGCAGACCGTCTCGAAGTTGCTGATGTCCCCACAAGCGATCATATGCAGCACCTTCGCACTGCACACCAGCTGCACGCGTTCCACCATGGAGACCAAACTGTCACAAGCTGCGGGGAGGGCTGCGAAATCATCCTTGCTCACCTTCTCGTCCTGAACCGTGGCGCGAAAGCGCACCAAGGATTTGGAGCCGAGCACATCTAACGTGTACTTGCCCAGCTCCTCAATCGCCCCTGCCAAGTTGTCACCCTTGGGCTCTGTCAACATTTCTGTGCGGCACACCCAATCCACAATTGTTGCAGCTGCCTGCTGCGTGAGCCGGTCAGACTTCGCAGTGGGCACGTGCTGCATGACAAAGCCTGAACACAGGCACGGAGCAACTGCTTGCGTGGGTTCAATGTGGGGATCTGGGCCTGTCTTGCTGCCCCTACTATCCCCCGATCAACACCCGTCAAAACCAACAACGAGCATATAAAAACTTGCAGACGGGAGTTCGCCGTGACACTGGGCTTTTGAAGTCCAACGAAACGGGTTTGGAAAGCATGCAGCAAGTTGGCGCAAGACACTCTTTGTCAACAATCTGGGCCGAGAGTCAGTTTGCAATCCCAATCTGATAGTTACCAATCAACCTCACTACCAATGTCACCTGCGCTCAAAACAAGTGCCAAAAGGTGCCAAGCCACACTTCAGCTGAAATGCTTTGTCCATGAGGGAGGCCAAGTCCGGCAGTGGTGCGGGGGCGATGTTGCTAAATTCCTCAGCACACTCTGTCAAGGCCTTCGAGTCGTCAAGCCCTTCCAAATGCGCGTCCGCAAGCTGGGTCACCTCGTCCAGAGCCGTGCTGAAATCCGGGCACACAACTGTGTCCACCCAGCCATGTAGCTTCTCCAGGCATGATATGAGCTCCTGTGCCACCCGCTCTGCTCCTGCAACAGAATGGGCAGCTTTCAGCTCACCCATGAGGACAGGCAGCTGCTGCAGTGAGGACATCTGCTTCGCAATGGGACAATCTTCAGCCTCCAAGTCGGGGCTCTCCTCTATTTCGAGCAGTGTGTTGATGCCCTTGATCATGTCCTGCGCCTGCTGCACACTCAGCCCCGCAGACGCCTGTAGCTTTTGCTGCGCCAGCACCTTCTGCCATAGCGACCTGCGCCAGGTGTCTTGCCGAATTGGGGGGGTGTCTTCACCCATAACAGGCACCCGATCACAACCAAATCACACAGTGTTGCTGACGTAAGTTATAGACTATAGACTCGACTCTCTAGACTATGGATTAATATTCCAAGATTCTGGCAAGTCGCAGTGCCACATGTCACGAGGCAAGTCTCGTACAAAGCAAAGTAAGTTGTTGTTTGGAGGCGTGGAAAAATACACCAACTGTGGTGGAGGATGTCTAGATGTGTCTAGTCTGGCTAGCAAATCAAAGAAATAAAATGACACTGTGACAATGGGGCTAAGGCTAGGCTAGACATGTCTACTAAAACTGAGAGCAATCATAGGGAGTGCCAACCTGCGCAAACACACTATCTCTCGTTGTTGTTGTTGTTGTTGTCATGGAGCGATTGGAAGAATCATTACAAATCATTACCATCTTCTTTGCCTCTGATCTGTGATCCAATCTTTATTTAAAACGGTTTAGTCTAGTGCTCCGCCCTGATCAACTGCATCCTGCTGGCAGGCGCCAAATGTTTGTAACGCGCGCGTCGTGTCAAGTAAATTGGGAGAGCCAAGCGCAGGTTGGGAAAGTGCAAGAGTTCCCTGCCTCCACTCTTGGCTTGCAGACATCGGGAGAACCACCCTTTGGCTGAAGGAAGCTTTGGCCACAGAACACAGGTACGCCACATCCACGTCACCATCGCCGCTGCCTAGCTTCTGCACCTCCATGCAAGCAAAAATCCGCTGCGTGTCCTGCATGACTACGCTGGTGTAGCCACTTTGGTTCTCATGACCATCCAGCCCCACCACTTCCTTGCTAGGAGTAGGCAGCCTTGGAAATGCGGGAGGGAACAACTTCAGACTTCGCAATTCAAGCTTCAATTCCCGCACACGCTACTACCTGGCCAAGCAAGCATTTTACTGCACACGCACACCTG